TTATTCCCTATAAATAAGCCGGCAACTTTCCTAGTTAATGTCTAGTGTTGCTATTTCTCCTAGAATTTTACAAGACGTAATATACTCACAACATTGTACACTTTATGTGGTGTGTTTAAATTAGTAGCTGTACTCGTCGAGGACTGTACTTTTTCATTCGCTTTGCTATAAGTTGACATTGTTTTTATTTCTGTTTATTTGATTTTTGTATTCTTTAAATAAAGCTAATGGTTTCATTAAACTGACCTTTGTTAAAATCTGCAGCTCTGGTGTCGTTTTGCGATCTAAAATGTGTTTTTTTCAGTTTTTCGCTACGCATTGTTTATTTAAAGAGCGAAATCTTAAAAACAGAGTAAATCTACAAAAACCAAATAACGGTAGGTAACAACTGGTTTTCTGTGACTTGGCTCCATTAAATTATCTTGTACGTCATAGCGGTTTATAAAATGTATATATATTGGTGTACGGGGGAGGTGAGTATATACGTAATGAGTACAAAATAAGTACGTGAGCAAAGTGGGAGTTCCCAAAAAAGGACGGGAGCAATGGGGAAGGCAGACCGACCGAAAGTGATTTTCTGATTTCGACCGAAACCATAGCGAAAATTTACAAAACGACTTTCGGTCGAAACCGAAATTAAAAGCTTAACGAGACTTTCGGTTGAAACCGGAGCTGAAAGTCGTTTTTTTAAAAAATATTTTGAAACTCGTTCGTGCATTCGCTCTGCCTACATCAAAAAATTAAAAGAGGAAAGTTTTGATACTAAAATTATTTTTAGAAAACAAAATGCTATTATAGTGAGCATCTAAAAACATCTAATGAATTTCTTTGGCTTTTATCATTTGAATTAAAAAATAACTTAATGTTGTTAAAATTGTATTATAAAGTATTATGGAAAGGGAACATTTTGATTGGATTTTTTTTTGTGGGGGTGGGGGGGGCAAAGTTCTTGCAAAATAGACCTTTGGGCTTTCTTTGCTTTTATAATATAAGTACAACGCTACCTAGACATATTTGGTATGGATCGAAAGCTTAGTCTATGCATTTTGTTTTTGGTATGACCCACTAAAATGTCCAGGATGAACTCTTTGTTCCGCCAAATCATATTATTTATATTTTCCTCATAACAGTCTTTTTTATTGGTCAATATTTAAACTTATTGTTTTTCCGCAATTATTTGTTATTCTGTTGTTTTTTTTGGTATGACCCACTAAAATGTCCAGGATGAACTCTTTGTTCCGACAAACCATATTATTTATATTTTCCTCATAACACGCTTTTTTATTGGTCAATATTTAAACTTATGATTTATCCACAATTACTTTTTATCGGTTAATTTTTTATTTGACCCCGATCAAACAAAAATAGGATGAAAGTTTAACAACTTTTAGTTTGATAATATACTAGTTGGGTGCTGGTTGGCGAAATGATGGTCTGGGGTTCAAAGCCCAGTCAAGCAAAAACATTACCAGCATCCCGGGTGGATGTGACTCGTTATCCTTGGGTGGCAGCTCATTTAAGAGAAGGAAACTCTGAATTCAAACCCGGAGATGGAGTCCCGTAGGTGGATAACATTTGCACAATCCCGACAACTCCTGCGACGCCACTGGTGCCAAGCTGTATCATCCATATGATGTTCCCAGTGACGTTATCCATTGGCGTGGAGAGAGATGATTTGCTGTTGGGAACCAGCTTATAATCCTAGAATAATATTCCCAGGTCTTGTGGATTTCGTCCTGCAAAGTCTACGCCATCGTCACTTTGTGGCGGACGGATGCCAGCAAAAAAAAAAAAAAATTGTAGCAGACCTGGTTACACTGGAACACACCATATAGTACAATATAGTTTTAGAATAGTGCTTAACCATGTGAGAATCGTACAATACCGTATTGTAACAGTAAATGAATAAACAAGCAGTATAATGTATACAATTAATATTTGCATANTAAAAAAAGGGGGGGGGGGGATTTGGGGAGAAGTCCTAAGCCCACTGTCCAGAATTTTTTTATAAATGTAAAAGCCTAGGGTTCCCAAATTGTAAATTTAAAAAATAAAAACAAAAATATAAATATTACCATTCCCGTACTTTACCTTTGACAAAGCCTTATTGAAATTATATTTTTGGAAATATTGGACAAGTAAGTCGTCGTGCATTTGTTAGCAGTGTTCGCAAAAGATTAAACATATATCATACGCTGACAGCAAGACGTCGAGCAATAATGAATATTGCATTGCCAGGTGACAGACAGAGTGACAGTAGAGTTCTGGTAGAAGACCAAAAGCCTCAATCACTTTAGGCCGAAACCGGAAAAAATTCGTGCACTCTCTAAGCTAAACGTCGACTTTTTTTTATTTTGCGTTCGTAACTTATGGACGGCACCATACGGAAAATTAGTTTTTAGAATGTGATCAAAGACTTTGATTACAGACGCTGTGGGAGAAAACGTTTTAAAAAAATTATTAATTATTTCTTAAGTGATAGATTTTTTTTTTTTGATTTTTTTAAATAACATTTTTTTTAAACTAGCTAACATAGGGGGCCGTCCATAAAGTACGACACGCTAATTTTGACCATTTTTAACACCCCCATCCCCTGTCACAAAATGTCTCAAATCTCGGACCCCCCCCACCACCCCCCTAAATTACGTCACACTTTCGAACAAAATTATTTTGTGTTAATTAGGTGTTAATTAATTAAAATTTAATATAAAACACACTTCACTATTAAACTACCATAAAGTACGACACGTTAATTTTTACCATTTTTAACCCCCCCATCCCCTGTCACAAAATGTCTCAAATCTCGGACCCCCCCCCCCCACCCCCCTAAATTACGTCACACTTTCGAACAAAATTATTTTGTGTTAATTAGGTGTTAATTAATTAAAATTTAATATAAAACACACTTCACTATTAAACTGTATTAAAATATAAAATTTCCACCTAAAAGAACTATCACATTATTAAAATTACTTTAATAGTAGAATAGTTAATTGTCAACAGTTGTCAGACTTATTCATTGAAGCAGTAACTCAATCTAGATTGAATTTGAAAACAAAAATTGCAAAAATTAGAATAGATAATTATATCATACACATCATTTATCTGCTGCGTTTTTCATTTACAATAGGTGAGGTCAAGTTTTAGATAATCTTCCGATTATGCAATCTTTTTACACAGGGTTAGAAGTAGATTAGCGAAACTTGACCTCACCCAGTGATTAAATAATAAAAAGGACAGTGACATAATTATGCAGCGGACAACAGAGAAATAATAATACTTCCACCATGAAGGAAAGCAAGGCTATACAAAAAAACAAAAACAAACAAGGCTTCGCAACAGCATACTAGTGCTCCTAGCGAGAGGAATCGTGAACAACACATTCAGGAGATAGGCATTTCATGCTCTTTTGACATAAAACTAATTTAAATGTTTCACAAAAATTTAGAAAAAAATTTCTAAAGCTATTAAAGTCCACTAAAAAAAATTTTAAAAATTAATTAGAAATGAAATTGTTTAAAATAAATGTGTGACGTCACACATGGCCTGACCCCCCCCCTCCCCATGTCAAAAACTGTCACACTTTCTTACACCCTCTCCCCACCCCCCTCCCCATGTCACAAACTGTCACACTTTCTTACACCCTCTCCCCACCCCCCTCCCCATGTCACAAACGGTCACACTTTCTTACACCCTCTCCCCACCCCCTCTGGAGCGTGACGTACTTTATGGACGGCTCCATACCCGGCGTTGCCCGGGATTTCATTTCGGAAAAAGCTTCTACAGTTTTTTTTAGCTAACACGATAATTTAGGGACCTGTTTCAAAAAAAGAAAATAAAGAAAGTCACCAAAAAAATATATTTAATTTCAAATTTTTATAATAACTTTAGTAATTATTTCGTACCCCGATGGGGTCCCGTTTCCCAATGGGATCCCGTTCCCGCTGGATCCATTCCCTGATAGGATCCTGTTACCAGGTGGGATCCATTTCCTGACGACACTAATCTTAAAAACACGTTCAATTCGCTATAACTTTATAATGGTACATAACAAGCTAATGGGGGTGTCTTTAAATCGTTTTAATACATAGGTCATCTAAAGGCCCTTAATCCGGCATTTGTGTTCACACAAGTTTTATTTCTTAATTATTACAATTTTCTTCCTAACCAATCCACAGACGTTCAGAAATCAGTGGCAGGAGATGACAACTCAAAAGAAGCAGGCGTCGGCACCGAGTGTTTGATGCACCACCAGTGCTGCTCTGCTGCAATGTGAATAACTATTTCCAGACAATCAAGCTGAACTTTTCAGAAGGACCGGTGACTCCCAAACAAGCATAGCTGCAGAGAATTGATGGGATCATCATTTTAAGCGCAGAATTCTAAAATTAGCATATGTGCACCACTTGCAAGCAGAGTTACAAGCTGGCGTGTTTGTTAACCTGCAAATGCATTGGATTCGTCACCAAAAGGCAAAGGGATCATTATGTATGCCAACAAACCTCGTGTTGGAATGTGAACAATCATTGACACTCTTCGGCCATAATAAACTATTTGATCAAAAACATTGATGCTTTGATGTGGCTTTTTTTTTCTAGAAAATACAACGGATTAACGAGACGGTGAGAAAATTTGGCACTCAAAGAGGACTATTGAAACATATACGCGAAGATTAATTAATTTAATTTTTTTTTTTTTTACTTTCAAAAGAAATTTGATGAACAGCACTTAACTTACTTAAAAGTAGAAATTTAAGTGATACGTTTTTGAGACATCCCGCATTTAAAAAACCACATTACCATGGATGTTCAATGGTTTAATAATATCGATAGATTACAGTTGATTAACCCATAACTTGCAAACAAAACTGTTGCTTGTTTGTATTTGAATAAAATGAATCCCACCGGTAAAATGTATTTTTAAAATCCAGCTGTGTGTGTCACTCTCTCTCTCTCTTGAAACAATATGATAAGCTGTTGTTCTTGACTAAAGTCTCTGTTTTTTGTTTAACTTAACTATGGACATCTTAAGTATGGCTCAACTGCTGCTGTACAAGAGCCTGCAGAGAATTACGTTACTTAACTGTCCGCGGATATTGCAGCATCTAGTTAGGCCGCTGTCATTGGTCTCTATGCGACATGTCAAGCATTTTCTAGCCGTTCTGTTGTTAGTCAGCTTGATCTGCCTGTCTGTTCACGTCCACTGGATTGTATGCAAGCCCAACTTCAGCGCCATAGAACACTACCGTGTCTCTGTTGGCATACTGCTGTGCCTCATACAAATCTCAGTAGTTTTTTCTCTTCCGTTTTTCATTTTCAACTTCCTCGGTGTCGTCCTGATCAATGTCTTCACTCAACGGCCGAAGCTCCAGCGGTCCCCTTTATTGGGGCCCTTTTTGTGTTTTCGAGTGGTCACCAAAGGGCTGTACCCGGAACTCGTGAACGAGAATATGAAACTGAATCTTCAAGTGTGCCGCAAAGTTGGCCTACACAACTATATCTTTGAGGTTGTTACCGACATCCCCATTAATCTGAAGTCGACGAAAGACAGCCGGGAAATTCTGGTACCCAAAAACTATAAAACATCATCCGGGTCTCTATTTAAAGCGAGAGCACTCCAGTACGCCTTAGAACCGGAAGTAGACATATTAAGCCCCGGGGATTGGATCGTCCACCTTGACGAGGAGACGCTTCTGACCGAAGAAGCAGTGATAGGCATCATCAACTTCACTGGAGCTGGAGAACACGCTTTTGGTCAAGGTGTCATCACATACGGAAGTGGGAAAATCATCAACTGGGTGACAACCCTGGCCGACTCTATACGGGTTGGTGTAGACTACGGTTGTTTGAGGTTCACGTTAGGCATTCTTCATAAACCAGTCTTCAGTTGGAAAGGATCCTTCATAGTGGCGGACGCCGAAGCAGAGAAGAAAATCTCCTTCGATCACGGTCCGGAGGCTTCCATCGCGGAAGACTGCTTCTTCGCCTGCGTGGCTTTCAGTAAAGGTTACAGCTTTGGCTTTGTGGAAGGAGAAATGCTGGAGAAAAGCACGTTTACCCTCAAGGATTTCATCCAGCAGCGCCGACGCTGGATGCAGGGCATTTTACTGACAGCGCTTAGCGCCAAGATCCCTCTCAGGTACAAACTCGGCCCCGTGCTGATGAGCTTCTCAGGGTGCACACTTCCAGCCAACCTCCTTATGGTCCCAATCAGCCTTATCTGGCCACTACCGTCCTCACCCATCATTACCGTCACCTACAGTTTCATCTTGGGAACTATCCTCTATTTGTTTATCCTAGGCACACTCCAGACGTTCAGCGTCCACCGGTATGGCATCTGGAAGTGTATTCTCCTCGTCTTAGCCACGATGATGTGTGGGTTAGTAGCCTGTATACTTGAGAACATTGCCTCCATTCTGGTATTCTGGTTCCCGAGGTCATCCGTGGCCAGCTTTTATGTTGTCAAGAAGGATATTCCTAATGACTGTGTAAAAGGGATATAATGATACGGACACATAGAGTAGTTTCTAGGATTAAATAGGTCTTTACTTTACGCTTTTTATAAATAAGTATTACTCAAATTTATTTAATAACTAAGTATGTAATATATATATAATATATATACATATCTTTATTTTTATTATTAATAGATTAAATGTAACCAGTTGTTTCCCCACTCATTGTGAACTTTGAGCCTTGGTGACTGAGTGAATAAAATATTAACGAGCTTGTTCCTGTCCAAACGATCATATTTCTGAATTCATTGACGATGCTTTCTAACCTAACGCTGCTGGTTTATCAATGTTTGTCAAGGAGACTAATAACCACGCTTCGAGGCTAAGAGTTCATTTCATCGCCATGATACTTCTCCCAGCACGAAAAACTACTGCTTATTATCTAAGTATGATCTAAAAAGTTTATTTCTTTGATATACTTTAAGCATACTTCATTACACGTATGACAATGAGTCACCAGTGATATTCCCAGAATTACTTTCACCCTTCCAGGTCATTTATCGTACCCCTCCGTGATATTTTTGCACTCAGACGGTGATATTTTCCATTTTAAAATCGAGCTATAATTTTTTTTTTTTTTTTTTTTTAAATTTTTTGAAATTTCCTACAAAGTAAAAGTAGTTCCAAAAAAATAAGTGATAAAATGTAAGCTAAAAAACTTTTACTTTACTCTCCACAGCAGTATTCTTTAAACATTTTTTTCTTTTTAAAATTGGGTTTTAATTTTTTTTTTTTTTTTTTTTTAAATCTTCTGAAATTTCCTACAAAGTCAAAGTAGTTCCAAAAGAATAAGTGATAAAATGTAAGCTAAAAAACTTTTACTTTACTCTCCACAGCAGTATTCCTTAAACAGTGATCCTCACATTGCGGGTCCGCTTAACATGAATATTTATTTTGTAAATACATTAAGAATACAATTAATAAACCCAGCACTGGACCCTGGTTCATTTTCTAACTTTGTCCATCAAACTTGAAAAGTTGGGATACACTGCTCTAAGAGCTCTTTTTTTTTTCATGTGCAACTTTCTTGTACTTAAATCTTGAATGAAGTTGATAAATAATAAAATGAATCTGTGATATTAAAGATTTTATTTAAAGATATTCTTGCACTTCAGTGTAAAGTGGTCTGATTACTTGAGTGATTTCCCTATTTCATTATGAGCTTTCCATGGCTCAATATATTAATTTGTCAACAAACAATTTGTATAGTCAATTAAGTATTGCCTTGTTTATTTTTTCAACAATTTCCTTCATAAAAACAAAGACCACTAAATGCTTAACAAACATATCAATTTATTTTATGTACAAAATAATCACTTTGTTTTTCTATCTTTGTTCAATTGATGTCCCACTCCAAATGGCTTTATTTGAACAATTATGCACAGCAGACCAAATACCATTTTTAATCACATCTTTCAGTAAATAACCTGAGTCAATTCATTAAAACAATGAAATGAAGAAACAACAGTTTTTAAAAAAAAATCATAAACTTTTCTCTTGAAAAGATGAAAGCAAGTGAGCATTAGGCTTCTTTAGCCTGTCTTGTATAATTTGATGGAACTTTTCCCTGACATTGCTAAATTCCATGATATCCCTGGGCTTTTCAGCAAACCAGAATTGCACAAATTCATACAGTAAGTGACCTGAAAAGAAATAAATATGTATAAATTATTGATCTAGTTATACTGTAAGTTAACAGATCAAAAAAAATGTTAATAATAAAATTATAGATCTATTGAATCTTAAAAATAAAATTATCACTCCACAATACATAAAAAAAACTGATAAAGATAAAAAAGAAAATTATTTGTGGAAAGGATCTATTAAATAATACCTGTTATTACAATTTTTTTGTATACAGATTTTTTATATTTCAAAAACAATCCTGAAATTTTGTAAACCCATCTGGTAAAACAAATGATGGGAGGGTAAAAATTATTGTTTACTATGTGATTTAATAAATATTCAACACTGGCTTAAAAAATTAGAGAAATGGGTTGTAAACTTCTTGAAAACTTTGCACAGCCATGCTGACATGCATAATTTTAAGCTTATGAGGGTTTGAAAATTCTAGCCTCTTTACTCTAATATCAATCCGATTTTCCCCTATCAAAAACCCAAAGAGTTGGGCCTGAACTTTTAATTTACTTCTTTCATTCACTAGAGAAAATTTATCTTCTATTCTAAACATAATTTATCATAACACTTTAATAGCTGATCAAAAGTGAAAAAAAAATGCATGCATTAACAAAAATATTTTTAAATATTATAAAATGTTATTCTTTATATTTGATTTTGGAACAGGAGTAAAATAAGCAATAATTATATTTAGACAACAAATTATAAAAGTGGGTCGATTTCCAAGGTTTGGTGGAGGCTTGTTAAAAGCTGAGATTTAAAATTTCATAGAATCTGTAACCAAGAGCTATGGTAGTGTTGCTTACAATAAACCTGATGAAAATCATCCAAAGTATGTTCTCCGTTTGACAGACCATAAAAATGAGAGCGAAGCTTCCTCTTGGCCAGTAAACTGTAGCCCATCTCTGTTATGTTTATACCCACAATGGCAAAGGAAAAGCTATTAAATGAGATTAAGAAATTTAAAAAAATTTGTTTTCAAATAAATAAAATCAAGGCAAAGCATTTAGTGAAATATTAATTTCATAAAATCACATTTGTACAGACGGAGAGAACAAGTAATTCAGCTCCCTAATGGTATTTTTAAAGTAAATGTGTATCTAGCAAAGCTTGGATAAATTTCGGATAAAATATTACTGATTTATTGTTAAACTATAAACAAAAATTGCCTTATTTTTACCTTATTTAATATATTTTATTTTCAACAAACACTTTGTGAAATTTATTTGATAATAAAATAAAGCACATTAAAAAAATGTAGCACTTGTTTTTGTAAAATGATTACTAGTTGAACTTAAACCCTGAAGGCCTTCAGTTGAATATAACCTGACAAAGCTTATTTTACAACTGATAACAACATTATTCAGTATTAAGGTGCATCACTAACTTACCCATATTGAGGGTGATGAGACTGACTCAAAACATGCCTAGCTTCATCAGGATAGCTCTGGGCAAAGTACCTGAAATTAAATAAGGAAATAAAATATTTTTTAAAAGAAAGTGTCAATAACAATAACAGGACATCTAGCTATTTCAAAATCAAAGCATCAACAAACAAAAAATAAACACACACAGAGCAAAAAATTATTTGTTTATATGTCATAAACTTGACTGCAATCTATATATATAATAAATTAATAAATATATAAATAAATTGGACTCAAGGGTGTTGACACAAAAGCAGAACCTCTGGTAGCTGTGACTCAGGAAACTAGAATGGTAGCTCATCTACGACAAAAGTACCCCCCCCCCCCCCGACAGAAGATCAGGACATGGAGTCTCATTGGGGGTATGACATTGTACTCCATGCCAATGCAAGGAACTCCTGCAGTGCCCCTGTATCATCCGTTTGATGTTCCCAGTTGCATAGAGAGGTGGAATCTGACTGGAAAACAGCTCAACTCTATATCAAATCACCCCTCCCAGGTCTTTTGGATTGGCCCTTTCAACAAAACCACATCACCATCCCTCTCGAGATGGACAGGTGCAGGAATATAAATGGTAGTGAGAAACTAAATGTTTGAGTACTACACTTAAAAAAATCTACCAATTTCAAAAGCAAAATTTAAATAAGATCAAACGTAAAGCCAAAACCTAACATCATTATTTCAATGAAAAGATAGCAAAAGTGGTTTTGTGGGATACACAAAGCGCATTTAGTATTTTTAAGTAGACTGCCAAAATCATATTGCAAAATTGCCTTGAAACCTTGTACATGTTTGCTCTTTAAAAAAAAAAATTAACCTTCTAGCAGCCAAAATTAACCTTCTAGCAGTTTAAACATTTGTAAAACTTATTTTTAAGTCCGATGAGATGTTGGCCTATGAGTGAGGATGTTTCTTTCGTCAGACTGCTATACTCAGGTAATAAGGCTTGAATGACAAAAGCAATCAATATCTCTAGTGGAATTTGGTAATGAAATTGAGAAACTTTTTGCAGCAAGTACCAGCTTAAATTTTCATTAACCCTTTCTGGCGCAACTGGGTGTAATACACTTTAAACAGGCTTTTTATTTCTGATATCTCAAGTCTCCTTTGAATAAGCTTTCTCATACTCTGCCTAATCCACAAGGTAGTTGGAATGAACACCTTGGTTGGATGCAATTGTATAAATCATGCGAAAGTGACTTATTTTTTGGGGCCTAAACTTTTTTTCTACAATCCATAGCAACTGGGTGTAACACATCATACTGGGTGTAAAATACCCATGCATAATTTAATAGAAGAAAAAAATGTCTAACCTGGCTTGAGAACATTTTTGTTTGGTTTTTGTTTGTTAATTATTTGAGTCTGTGTAATCCATAAAATAGATTTTAAATTTTGACAAAAAATAAATATTCTGAACGGATTTGGGTACCAACAATAATAACATCTATTCATTTTACAAACCATTTCAAAGCAGACCAGACACATGATCACATGGAAAATAGGGGCTTTGCAGCTCAGCTTGCATAGTTTTTTACATAAAAGAACAGAATGTTCTTTGCAAATATGTCTAATAAACTTGCTGAGCTGAAGTGGTTTGGGCAGCTGTTTGAAGTGTTTGTAAAGATTTCAAAACACCTGCGATGTTCTGCCTCACAATATCTTGGTGCGTCAGGACAATTCGTCTCTACTTACAGAGGGGTGAGGAAATTTGCAACGTCAATATTGACTGTCTGTTTTCTTCGTGAGACAGTGAGTTAGTCGGATATTTATATTTAAATTCCACTCTTGCTACAATTGATGCTATGTCACAATGTAAAAAAAACAACAACCAAAAGCCATCTTTTACTTTTAGTCCTTTGTATTCTCAGAGAACACCTTCTATGCCTTCTTTTATTTTGTTGATATAGAGCACAATCTCTGGTTTCTTGCATTCAGTTTCACTTTCTATATCTGGACAATTGTGTATGTGTTCAGGAGCAATACATTTTTCTGCTTCAAGCTCTGGTATTTGACAAGGTTGTTTCTAATCTGAACAAAAACACTGATTTGTTAAGGGGCAGAGCCTTCTTTTGCTCGAACCCCTTGGGTAGGAACATCTTGTTCCGTTTCACTGTTCCAACCAGGGTGAGGCTGTTCTTGGCCATTGGTTCTGCAAGTTGTATGGGAATGAAATAATAGTCAAATCTGAAATTGCGGCCACTTCCATGGAAGTCCGTTATGAGAGAGATCAGTCTCTGGGGATATTCCAACATTTCTCTTCGCTGGAAGGGCACTTGCATTTTCTTTGTTGAGATATGGGCAGCCTCTAAGAGGATAGTTCGAAGACAATTTGCAAATCTGGCTTGCTTGGCATAAATGGGATAAATCTGCACTGACCTCTGAAATCAATCACCTTCTGTGATGTTCTCTCCGGAAACAAAATACCTTACCAAATTACTCAGGAATGCTTCTCATATATCTCTTTTAGGAGCAAAGATGTCACGAGCCAGAAATTATTGGTCTGGTATCCTTGTCAAAGCCAATATGAATCAGAAGTTTGCTGAATCTCTTCATTGAAAACGCTGCCCTAAAAAGAGGATTTCCATCAACAGGGCTGAATAAAAATTCCACTGAAATGCTGTTGAGGTGAAAAGCGCCAGTGTTTAGTAAGCAGCCAATAAAAGCTTTCATTTAGATCGCAAAAGTTCCTTACCATTTGTTTCCATTTTTTACTTTCTGGCCTTCCCTGTTGGTGCAGTCAGCTATTAAGGTATCATTTTTCATTAATGTAAAAAAACAAATACTTCGGTGGGAGAAACTACGTGATATGTGAAGGTAGTTTGGTTACAAGGCAACTAAATCATGCCACATTGTAAAAAATAAAATAACATACATAAAGAGAGCCATTTACTGTGATATAAGACTATGGGTGTAACCCACCCAGTTGCAAGGAATCGCCTGAAACAACTTTTCCCATTATAATAAGTGTACAGGTGTGCCACACCCAGTCATGAGGGACGGAAAGGGTTAATACTACCACACAGCCTTGTCTGATTAACTTTAGACCAACCAAAAATAAATAAATTGGCAGAAAAGTTAGAGTGATCAAACAAGAGACACAAATGTAATCATCATGAATGTTTTGTGTTTTGGTTTCCTAGATGCCAAGGATTCTTACAAGAGCTGTTCTAATCCGAGCATACCCATGCCTCTAAAATCAGTACTGGGGTCGTGACCTTGAAAACCCATCATTGTCCAATGTGATCCTATTCGACCATGAAGAGGGACACCACTGTTGTATGCATCCCACAGCTAAGGAAAATAAGAAAAAAATATATATTTTTATATTTTTAAAGTTGACACTGTTAGACAGCAAAAAATTGCATACAAGTTGAGGAGTAAATTTATGGTAGTGTTAACAGAGGAATTAATGAAATTTAACTAAATTGAAATTAACCAAAATTTAAAATTGTGTGAGGTTTTTCAAAGATTTCATATTTAAAGCATTTCAATTTCTCAATGATATTTGCATGTGAACTAAAATAAAATGATTAAGGTGTTATAAAATCATTAATTGAGACATGGATAAATGCAATGTGTAATTTTCTCTGCTGACCTGTGTCAATTTCTTCTCATGGGATGCTTCGTCTGCTGAGTATTTTGTTTTCCTTAAATCTTCAGCATCAGTTAAGACTTTGTTATAGGATCTTATGTGGCTCAGGTAGCACCCTATTAATGTCTCAAACCTAATTTAGTATACAAAAAAAAAATATAACTATTATAGATATAGGATATTTTTTATTTAAAGAGCTATTCTAAAAATTGTGGTATTGACTAATGAAGAAATACTGATTAATACCCGTACTCAATACATTTTATAAAAAAACGATCCTTTCTTTACACAACTTTTAGGGTTATTTATTACTGATGACAAACCGTTATAACGTGTACAGCAATAATTTTTTGAAGATGTACCCTAGTCTGAAATAAATTATTTTTTTCTGTATGTCTCATCAGTTTTGGATTTTTTTCCCCCAGAAGTTACACATCAAATTCAAGGGAGATTATTTTTAATAAATTATTGCCATGTGATATTCAAAGGAGTCACCCTTCTTGTACAATTACACAGAAATAAAAAAATTAAAAATAATCTCAAGGGAAACAAAAATCAATATTTTTCTCAGATACTTTACACATTACTAATATAAGGAACTAAAAATATTTTTTTTTTAATTACTTGGGGATTATAATACTATTTATAAAAACATTCAAAAGTTTAATAGTAGTGTGATCTAAATGTTGACCTCATGTTATCACTAAATGAAAAAGAATGTTAAGTTATTTTATTAATAACAAATATGAAAATTTAAATAAAGTTTAGCATTTAAAAACTGACAAAGTAATTGCAAAAATTAAAATATGCATTTTAAAAAAAACAACCTACTGTGAATGAATTTCAGGCACAATGTTTTTCAGAACACATATTTTTCTTATGGCTAAACCAATATCATAATCTGAATTAGTAGCGCATTGTCTCAATTCAGGGAGGCTGGAATGTTTCAAGGAGCTCTCTGGAACAGAAATAATTTTTAAAATTTAGAATTTTCCAGATTCTTAATTCAAAAATGCTATAATTTGTGCTCACCTTGCCTCTGGTAAAGAAACTCATATAAAGGCTCTAATCATTAGTTTTATTTATCAAGAAAAAAACAAACAGTTTGAACTTAAATCTCAATCTCCAAAAGTATATCAATGACAAGAATACTTGTGTAATGATGGGTTGGATATCTAGTAATGAATTTGGTTTTCTTAAAATGATTTCTTGAAATAAAAGTGTTTGAAGAAATATAAGGAAAGGTATTAAAAAAAAAAAGATAATTACCAATCCTTTTAGTTTTACTGATTTGGTCAACATCTTCATAGGTGATCCTCAGGAGCTCACATTTGCCTGTAATTTGTCGTATGATCCATTTCAATACTGGCCTGAGTAGAATGAAATAAACCTTTGACCACCACTCATTTATCCAACCAGACAGCACTGAAAAACATTTTTTTCTTTTAAATGAATTAACAGAAAAGATATACTATACAAATGAAATCTTTACTATTTATAATTAAGACTTAGCACATCACATAAGAAGGCAACATAAACACCTCCTGCTGAATTAAATGTATCCCATTAATGCTTTCATTAGCACCATATTTTATGAAAATAACATTATTTCCTGGAAGCTTTTCACCAACTTTGCTGGTTATGAAAACTTTTGGAAGGGGATATTTAGAAAATAGTTAATTTTCACATCAAAAAATCATAAATATTTGTAGGAGAATTTAAAAAAAAACTATTAGTGACAATGCTAAAGTTAGTACCTATTAATGTTATCAACAGAGAATACAGTCTGTGAGGAAAAAAAAAAAAAGGGGGGGGGGGGGGGGGAGGAGAGAGAGAGAGCAAGAAAGAGAGACCGGTAAAAAGAAAAGTTTGTTGAAATAAGAAATGATATTGAAAATTGTGCTGAATAATATAACCATTTAAAGAAATTCATTTGAATTGATACAAATACAAGGGTAAGTATCTTCTTTTTTTTTTCAACTTTAAGGTTAGACTAAATATGTTGAAAATTCAATTCAATTCTTTTCTGCAACTGAACATATGAAAAAAAAATTTAACATTGATTAATGCCACAAATGTAAACATGTTTAAAAGAAAAAAACATTTACCCTGGTGCTGAAATCCCATTGATACTAGCCTATTAATGGCATTCCTAAAAGCATCAGAGGAAAACATCACTTAATATATAGGAGACTCAAACTTAAATCAGTTATTGATAAGGATTTTAAGAGTCATAATTGTTTTAAATTTAATGATACAAAGCTTAATTTGATGTACCATAAATATAAATGTATTAGAGTGTAAAATACTTTTTAGCTGTGAAACGTACCGGGTATATCATTATTATATTTTTTTTTCAACAAAAGTTACAAAATTAGCATTGGATGGCCCCGTGTCCTAAAACACAAAATAAAGCAGATTTTAATTTTTTTAAATTGTTTAAAATATATTTAAAAGGAGATTATTTAACTAGCTATAATAATAGCAATTAGAGACAGTTGTGATGACCGAGTTGCTAAAATGCAGGCAATCAAATGGTAAAACATATTCCGGGCACAGTCTAGTATATGAACATATTTCAATTTAATAGACTTGTAAAAAATATATCCTTGAGTCCTGTGAAGTAATTTTTAGAGCTAATATAAAATGACACTTATATAACTTGATGTAAAATATGCTGCATTTATGCTGCTGTTTCATAGGAAACCTTTCTGTTGAGTTGCATGTAAGCAGATGTTTGATAGGAAACCTTTCTGTTACAAATATTAAAACTTTAGTCAAATAAAATTTTATACTTTAATTAAAATATAAAGGTATGAAAAGGTTAGATCATAAAGTGTCTTAATGAACGTTCATAGATAAATTTTAATGTGAACGGTAAAATAGTAATTGCACTCATTGTACTGTGACTCATAAAGACTTAAGATTAGGCCAGATAACAGTCACAAATCGTTGACAAGAAGGAGCCAAAAAAAACTGATGTCAACAATTCCCTTTTTCTTTTTTTTAATGTATAAAAAAATTTAAATCATAAATAAGCCTATACAATTTTTAGCAAAATATTGGATAAATGCATGTCATTCCTGGCTTTAAAAATTAAACCTTTGTCTTATTAAGTAACTGGGGCTTAGGAGGAAGTGTGGTGGAAAAAAGGATGTGTAAATAACAATAAATGACATCTATTATCATTGTCAATGTGAGAATTTAATGGTTAATTTATGTCTTTTCGATTCAAATGGAATGTGAGGAAGGTTGACCGGTTGTTAGCTATACTTCCAGATGTGGCTAGTCTCTGGATCTGGTACATCTCGGTTCATTTTTGAGTCTTAGAATCTTGGTCTTGGCAAAACGAAATTCCATTATAAAAGAGTCAAAAACATAATTTTAAAATATTGAAAACAATTCAGGAGGTCTTGATAAGGAGTAGGAACATCCATATAAGTTATCAAAATAAAAGAAGAAATTGTTTAAGATGGAATTAGACTTTAGGGACAAAATTTCTGTTACAATGACGTCGAAGTTGTGGAAGTCTCAAATGAAATGCAACCACAAAATCATGATGTCAATGATCCAAATTCACAATAACTCTCTATGCTCAATTGATATCAAATTTATTTGGATAACAGACGAGGCTGAATGAAAAAGCTGTTGATCCTGAAGACGACCTAACTGCTGAGTACTTCAACAAATATATTTCCAAAGGAATCTAATTAGAAAAATTCTCCAAACTTAAAGATGTATTGAAACTTATCAGAGGAACAATGATCCCAAGCGAACAGAATTTCTCAGTTTCTGGCAACCACCCTAGCAAGAGACAGGAGCAAATGACCTGCACAACTTTAAGGGATTTGAGTGTCCTTATTCATCATGTAATACAATGTGAAAAATACAAGAATAAAGCTAAAAATCTGTTGCTATTTTTCTGCACAATCATATATATTAAAAAATCGTGTTTTTTTCTTGGTCTTATCCTGAAACCTTATGATATTGACTTGGTAAATCAAGATTGTAAAACAACAGAGTGCCTGGAAGTATAGATGTTAACCCTCTTGAGATGACTGGGTCTATTTATTGTTCTAAGTAAGAGTAGTAGTATTTCAAAAAGACTTCTTAAAGAGGAAGACCTGATCCAGCTGCATAATAATTCAAGCCTCCAGGTTGGCTGGCTTGTCTTCGTTTCAGCTAATTATTCAGATTGCATCATCTCATTTATGGCTCAATTTAATGGCACCTTCCATTAATTGTTTAATAATGTTTACTGTGTTCTATCCACATTTATGGGTATAAGACTAAGAAGACCTAGAAGGATGCCATAAGTCAGTGGTTCTCAACCTTCCTAATATCGCTACCTTTTAATACAGTTCCTCATTTGCCTGACTTGCGGCGATCCCCAACCAAAATATTATTTTCGTTGCTACTTCAAAACTGTAAAGTATATGTGTTTTCCGATGATCTTACGCGACCCCTGGGAAAGGGTCGTGCGACCCCTAAAGGGGTCGCGACCCACAGGTTGAGAACCTCTGCCATAAGTCATAGCCATAAGTGATAAGGCTAAGTACTAAGGCATAACTGTATAACTTATAACTGAAAATGGCTGCGTTTTCTTGGCACCAAAGTCCTAAAATAAAAAAAAATAAAAAAATACTCCCACAACACTACTGAACACACAGTAAACAGTAGTCAAGTCAAAAGTCAAGTCAAGTCTATTAATATATAATTAAATCAGACAGTCTTCACTATTATATTAATCAAATTAATGTCAAAATTGTTTTCCGAGTCCGAGTCAAGTAAATTACTTAGTAATAAAAAGTAAATAAAAGACACATAAGTTAAATAATTATTTTAGTGTTGAAATGAGTTTATTAAATCAAAGGATTTATGGCAATTATGTTAATCATGCGTGGGTTACTTTCAGTATGAACTTACTAATGCTGACTTTTAAATCTCAATTTATTTTACAGTGTGTTTATGAGATGCACAACACATAGGAAATGACACTACATCTAGCGGAAATGACCCTAGAAGTGTTGCCAAGAGAACGACCAATCATTGGTGGCATCGTCTCTAGTCTGGGAGAGCTATGCATTTTTAACAACTTTGGTTTCGCACAAACTTCCTTCATGATAATAAATATATTACAAATGTGTTGTGTTGCCAATTTCATTAAAACATATGTATTTGTGTGTTAGTTACTTAAAATTTAAAAATAATTATTAGAAGAATGATTTCTGATTGCGATGGGAAAAGTTCCTGAGTTATATTATTTAGCTTGACCTTACAGCATGGGAAGATGGCGCGACTGGATATTTACACGACCCACAGAGTGTTAGATTTTCTTCAGTTAATCCTATTTTTACAGACAATTCAACATTACACATCATATGTAACGGCAGTAGAAAGTCACAACCAAGGTAAATCATTAGCAATTTATTACATTCCTGTTAAGAATAACCACTATGTTGTGTTTCGTTGTCAACAGATTTTTCTGAGTGTTTATTAATATTTTAATTATCTATTTTTAGAAGTCTCACACTACATGAAAATATAGGCTTTTGTCGGCTATTTAAATTAGTTTGTTAATCGCTTTAGAGCTAAGTTACAAATGACAGACAACACCCGTTCTTTTTCGCTTACTTACATGATTGGAATTATATCAAATCCCTGTTTTTGCACATATAGCCGTAAATATTTTTATAATGTGATGTTACATGTTAGTAGATCATCACCGGTCAGCGGCAGACGAAACTTGGGCAACTAAATTAAATAACAATATTAACACTGTCTTCTTCATTTTATGACTCTTTTACTTTCCATGCAGGGCTTTGGCCTGCCTCACTACTTTCTTCCACTCAGACCTAACTAATGCTTTCTTTTCCATGCGTGGACTTGGATTCCCAGTTGTAGATCTTTTTCTACATTATCTGACCACTGACATCCATCCATCTAACTACTAAGCCTAGGTCTGCCTTTGAGCTGTTTTCCTCTGGGGTTTCGGTGATGCACCCTCTTCAATCCTCTGTTATTTGGCTTTCTCTCTAAGTGCCCTGCCCAGCGTAGCTTACCCTTTTTAATTTTGCTACTATAGTGGGATCCTGATATAGTCTATAGACTACAATTCATTGTTGGTTCATATTTTCTCCATTAATATTCATCCTCTGTTGGTCCATATATTTTCCTGAGATCTTTTCTCACCCATGTGTTTAATAGATTTTCAGCCGTTTTTGTTAGGGTCCAAGTTTTACAAATAGTTTTCTTTGTTTCTCTTGTAATGCTTTTATTTTTGAGTATTTTCTGACTACTGAAGTATGCCCTGTTTCCGGCTGATATTCTTTCTTTTATTTCTGTTAGTAATTTGTTTCTTTCATTTAATAAAGATCCAATGTATTTGAATTGATTTACTTTTTCAAAAGTCTGGTTTCTGATTTTAATGGCTTTATCTGTCTGTTATTCTTTTATCATAGTCATGTATTATGTTTTTGGTTGTTAAACGTCCAGCCCTGCTTTTAGTGATGTGTCTCTTTTATCATAGTCATGTATTATGTTTTTGGTTGTTAAACGTCCAGCCCTGCTTTTAGTGATGTGTCTTCTAATTCAATAAAGGATTTTGATATGTCTTTAATACTTTTCCCTAGCAGTCCTATCATCAGCATATGCAAGATACTGAAGGGGTTGGTTGTAGTATGTGCCCATTGGTTGTGGGTCTTGGGATTCCCTCAAAAAGTATCCTGTTATTGTTCCTCAGGTGTCAGTATATATGCTTTTTATAACTATCTCTTTGTAGGTTAAACCTTTACAGGGCAGACGTTCTTCCTTTTGCTAGCTTTGAACAGGCAAAATTTTTCTGGTTTTTAGTAAGATTTTGGGTTACGTTAGTAAAAGCATCAAATCTAAAGTGTTAAAAGTGTCTATTGTCTGCAATTAGTATGTCCTCAAAATATTTAGCCCACCTCTCCAGTACTATTTTCCATAATTAATGCTCCATACTGGCTCTCACACATTTGCAGTCTGGCTTGGTATCCATTTTTTAAAATCATTTATCCTCATGTACATTTCTCTTATGTTTCCCTCTCTTGATAAGTCTTCTATTTAATTTAGCTTAGCTTTACCCCCATTCCCTCTTTTTCTTCCTACACATTTTTGTGGCTTTCCTTCTGGCTTTCTAGTATGTTGGTGTTGTCTTTCTGGTTTCCCTTTGTATCATGATCATTCATGCTTTCTTCCTTTCTTCGACAGTCTCCCTGCATTCATTATAAGAACAGCCTACTCTATTGTTAGTTTTCTGGAATCCTGCGACTTTTCCTGCTGTACTTTTCATTGCATTTTAATTGTGTCCCACTGTTCATTTACGTTGTTTTCCCTGTTTACTTCCTATTGTGCTTCTACTTCATTTTGGTAAGCTTTTGCAGTTATTGGGTTTTGGTAAGGTTTTGGTAATCATATATTTTCTCTCTTTTGTTAAGGGCATTGTTAATTATGCTTTTCTCTGCTTATATTTAACTCTTACAAGTAGATGGTCAGAGTCTGCATCTACCCCTTGACAGCTTCTTACATCTTGTATATCTGATCCATGCCTCTGATTGATTAGAAAATGGTCAATTTGGTTGTGGGGGATTCCATCTGGTTAGTTCCAAGTAATTTTATGTATATTTTTGTGTGGGAGCTTGATGCTGCTGACATCCCTTTTCCTAAAGCAAAGTCTATAGTCAGATCCCATTGTCATTGGATTCTTCATGCAGACCTTTCTTGCCAATAGTTGGCATGAACACCTTTTCTTTTCCTATTTTGGCATTAAAGTCTCCAATTACTATTTTAATATCATGTGGTGCCTCTTCGTAGATCTTTTCCAGTGTCTCATGAAAGGATTCTTTATCCTGATATTCCGTATCTTTGGTGGGAGCATGTACATTTATAAATGTTATATTGAACATTTTTCCTCGCACACACAAAGAGCACAATCTTTCATTTTCTGGTTTGAAGCTTGTGACTGCACTGACTGCTTTTTTTTTCACGGCAAATCCTGTTCCTAGAGTGTTGGTGTTGTTACCACTATAAAATGTGGTGCATTCTTTTGTTATGAGGAATTTTTCCATCAAATTTCTTGCAATGCAGAAATATATATTTTATATTTAACCAGTTGATTTACAAGACTGGCTTAGGCTCCTGCTCTAAACAGGCTTATTACATCCCAAGTCGCAATCCTAAAATCATGTTGATTTCCATTGGTATCAGTCCGGGTTTTATTCTGTCGATTGGCTTTCTTAACGTTAATTTTTTTACATGGCTGGGTTGTTACAAATATGAAAAGAAGGGGTTACATCTTATCCAGTAAATGTCTTTTATCTCACACAGTCAATGCCATCAATGTTTTATTTTTAAAATAATGTTTTAAAAAAATTATTTCACCTTGTTATTCTGAAGGATAAATTGTTATGACACTTTGTAGTTTTTTAACTAGTATTTTTTTAAAAAGGATATTCTGCTTCTACATAGCAGTGTATTGAAGCTCTTTTTTTATATTATTAATATCAAGACATTAAGCCATGATCTATTTAAAAAAGCTTAGCATCAGAGACTAGTTATTTTGGCATTCATTGCATCTTAAAATTAATTTGTAATGGAAATATTATAAAATCTTCTAATCTTTATCTTATTTGGAGTTTTTAAAGCACTAGTATTGTCAAAGGATTTATAATAATGTACCAACAAATGTCATGCAGATAAAATCAATCAGTGTGGTCATTAGAGATAACAAGAAATATGTTTATTGTATTTGTATTGATTGTTTTTTTAAAACATCATCTAATAGGGTTTGAGAAATTGTTTTGATAATATTGATTCACATTAGAAAAACAAAAACTATGAATATAAGATAATATAATAAGCAAGTGATGTTGGAGTGTTCATATTTTATAACATCTGTGACTGGTAATAAAATTGGTTTCTTTGGTCTTTTCAAGCATTATTATTGTAGTTTTTATTTTCACAAAGCTTCTATTGCATTGAAGAGAAGAAAAATTGTTTTACGCATTATAGATGCATGCAGTGTAATTTCTTGTGGGCTTTTTTCACTGGATCAGCACTAGCATTTATGACTGAAATTAATGTCTTTAAAAATTGATGTGGCTTCACTCAACGGTTTATTTATTTCAACAAATTAACAGTTCTGTGAGAAGTAAGGACATACATCTTGTAATCAAAGTGATATGTTTAATGAAGTTATAATTCTGTTAGGATTGTTGTTGCTTGTGATGTTAACTAGTTTAACTACCTTTGTAAGGAGTTATTTCAATTCATTTATGTTAATTATTTACGGTTTTAGCAGACATTTTGGATTAGGATACAAAACATACTGAAATTCTCATACATGCTAGAGATTATGGATAGTCATTGGCTATTTTAGTATTCTACCTAAGATTATGTCACTTCAAATCTAAATTTCATGCTATTAGATTTAAGTGCACCAGCAAATGTTGTAAAAGGCTGCCCCTCAGTGATCTAATCTTTGCTGGCCTCACTTTTTAATAATTTTATTTATTTTTTTTTTTAAAACTATTTTCAAAGGTCACATAGCTACTAACCAATGGATCTGTTAACAAGTTTTCATTACTCTTACAGCTAAGAATACATTTTAGAGGATCAGGGAATTTAAGCCCAATGGTAAATAGATATTTTGACAAATAAATATCAGCCTTGTTTTTGTTTTTGTTTGAAATTTTGAATTACAAGTTTGGATTTATTTTTTAAATGTATTTTTTCACAGCATTTGTACAAACAGACAAGCAATTGACATTTATTGTATCAGATAGTAGATACATCAGCTCTGGTGTACCATTAGAAGTAAGTAAAAAAAAAAAATATTAAGTTGTTATATCAAGGGATAGTGCTAATGCTATTATCAATCATCTTCATTTAAATGTAAAACCGTGTCCATTTGTCTTTGATTTGGATTATCAAACACCTAATATTGAATAGTTAAGTTGTAAAGTTCAGCTCTTATTTATGCACTCATAAGTCAAAATATTAATAGTATGCATCTCTCTTTATAATTTTTTTTTAAAGACCCTCTACAGTGGGTTCCTTCAAATGTCCTTGGTTCATCTTGCATTTAATGTCTTGAAACTTGTTTTGTGCGTGTGCTTTTTTACACACAAAAGCTGCATATAAGAATTTTATTTTTCTTATAGCTCCAATCTCAGTTTCATATTAAACTGTTGTCTGTTTATTTGTCTAAATTGTCAGTGTGCTTTAGATTTGTTTACCAACACCAAGAATCAAGTCATATTTTTCTTTTATTAAGAGGTTTATAATTCGTTTCCTTATGGACTCAAAGCAACATTTTGTTGAAATAACATTGCAATATTGATCTTAAATGTCAATATTCATATTTCTTTAAAATCTTGCAACCTACATTATATTTAGTTTAATGTTTTTAAGGAATTCATGTCTCCTCCTCTCCCCCCCCCCTTTCTTTTTTTTTGGTATGATTACAGATAAAACCAGGTTCATCTCCAGATTTAGGGTAAGTATTGATTAAGGTCCATTGTAATATTACTATTCCTCTATCATTGTTGTCTCAAACAAATTGCCTAAGCTGTTATTTTATACTGTAGGGCTTCACAATGTTGACACATTACAACAGGGGTCTAAGCTGTTTTGAGGCAGAATCCCACGTCCATTAATGTGTGCATTCTCTCAGGTCACATTTGTATGAAAACCAAACAAGTGTTAATATATACCATATTTATCGCACTTTTTCTCCCTGAAAATAGGGGGGAAATCATGTGTGCGTGTTATACGCCGATATAATGTTAAGGACCCATACATAGTACATACTTCATAGCAGTGCGAATAGTGGGTGTTAATACGCCAAATAAAGACGGTATCTGTTTTCAAATTCATTCTCAAAATATGTTGTTAAAATGTATGGTTTCTTTAAGTTAATTCTGAAATTCCTTATTGTTGACCATTAGAGACCTGATAGGCAACTTGTCTGTTGTTACTGCAAATGCACTGATTTCATGCTTAATTTTAAATACTTTATTTATCATTTGTACGTGTTGTCACTTTTTAGTCCATGCACACTTGGTGAACAGTATTGTTGTGGGAAGACTGGTTCACTGTGGGGTCCTCATTCAGCAGCATACAACAGTTTTGAAGGTGTATTATCTGTTCTGAGGATTGCTTCAGATACTACTTCAAATTATTCAGAGATAAATTCTGAGTTCAACATCTATACAAAATCCATGCCAAAGGATGGGGCTTGACTAGAGTTATTTAAATGTTGTTTTGGTTATGCTTAGGCTCGGTAATTGATATTACCTGCATCATGACCAAAGCAATGGGTGGCTGGGTTATTGTCAAATCAACATTCACCATGCACAATGCTCTGACTGATGTGTTGATTGTCACGCAGTTTATTGTGATGTGTCATTCAATCGTACCTGATACCATTTCTATCAACTTAGCTTTGATGCATGGTTTGGGGAATGTGGAAATCTGGCCACGTCAAACGTTTCAGCAGTGTTTTCAAGCGGTCCAATATGAATATGTCAATTTTGGTAATCCCATTAGCCCGTGTGTCAGCTAGGTTGTTTTTGTTATGTGCTATAAACAAACAAACAAACAAAAAACCCAACTCTTGTGATATAATGTCATCATGCATAAATCTCGAGACAAAGATCCCCCTCCCCTCTAGCCGTTAGCCCAACCACGGGCTTCCCCTGTTTTCCATCACCCAGTCTCTATACCTCATATGGTAATCTAGCCTAAATCTAAAATAGTAATCTAGCGCCTTACTTATTGAAAGAAAAAACTTAAGCTGTTGGAGCTTATGTTGTTTTTGTACCCCCTCACACCCCCTCCCCCAAACAAAACAACCACATCTCTTTGAAACAATATTTAATGTTTTTGTAATTGGTAAAACTGAGTAATTGCAGACAACAAGCTCCTAAACGTCTGTAGGCCGTTGGCTGGTGAATCAGGGGCTTAAAATAAAATTTAGTAAGTGTGCGTAGATTCTCTTTCTACAGTAATCGATGTGATTAACAGGCAAGGTCCACTTATTTGTGCTGGGAAGGTTATCAATTATCCCTATGCTTACTGAAATTACACGTATTACACGTCAACTTACGGTTGGGGGAGAGGGGTGTAAATATTCAAAGTACTGCTGAAAGTCGTCTATCATGCTGTAGATTTTTATTTGCTATTTTAATCACAGATACTTTCATGAAGTGGTCGCGACCCATCTGTCGTTTAAAAAAGAGTGAATGAAGCATAGCCTGTCTCAGACCGTACTTAATTGTTTTAGTAGGCTCCAGTTTAGTAAATAAACGCTAAGATATGTAATATATGACCATTCGTTTACTCACTGTACAGTCTCATTTTGGAAACACTCAATAGTTTTCTAGACGGAGCTTCCTAACATGCTCTATAATCTTCGAGCGCTAACGAATTGTTAGTCTCCCCCCCCCACAAAAAAAAACAAACAACCCACACACAAAAGCAGCAGTTTCTTTTAAAATTGAAACCTAAATGGACTTTTTAAAAATATTAACAGAAGAACTTTAAACAAATAACCGGTGACTTATTACAAAGTAAATAGTAATGAAGAGTTTACATTTCTATATGATACATTAAAAGTCAGTGGCTCCTAATGTTTTGTTTTTGTACCGGTATTCACTTATTTTCGCACCACCCCCTCCCCCTGGAATGTCATTTCGAACCACCCCCAGAAATGCCATCTCGCACCCCCTGGGGAGACCTGTACTAGATAAATCTAAATGCTGACTTTAACGGTTAACGAAAAGCCGTTTTGAGCTTATGACTTTGGAAGACACAGCCAACAGCTGGTTAACTAATAAAAACAATTTAAAAAAAAATAAAAAACCAGTAATATAATAAACACAAATTATCAAATCAACCGCTCTTTAATGTACCGCCTCCCCGGTCAATAAATAGGAATTAATTTCCTCAAATTTAATGCTCCATCTGTCGTGTCTCACCTTCAGCTTGTGACCTAAGCTCGTACAGATCCATCCATCTGCTAAAGGTTGATCCAGCCCTGAATTATGTTTCTTATTTGTGCACCCTGTGTTGAGTTGGTCTTGTTACACCTCACACCTCTCTCTCTCTCTCTCTCCCCCCCCCCCCCCTTATTAAAAAAAGTATAATAAAATAAATTATAAAATCGGTCAACGGTTTATGGCAGCGCGCGTCCCGTTGCTCACCGGGCTGGCCTGAGCCACACCCAGGCTCACACTGCCCTTATCTTTGAACGCAAACGAGTTGGGGTTGTGAAAAATAAATGAGCTTTTTAACACGTGGCATTCAACCTGGTTGACCCTTTATAACCGACAACAGCCAGGGCTCGTCTGATACTGTTTGTGTCACTCATTAGTGGGGGGGGGGTCATAACTGGCGTATGGCTACTAATAACCGATGATCCATTTGAATTATAAATACAGTGGAAACTAGCCATGGTGGAATTTCGGATATAACATGGTCAACTTAACTAGCCCAAGCTCAACATCACATAGGTCACCAACGACAAGTCATAAAGAAATACGCCATTTTTTAACCAAGATCGCCGATCTTCCTACCACGCACCCCCCCTTATTATTAGATCAGACTTATTCACATCCCAGGGAAACACCAACACATGACAGTAGAAAGTAGCATTAGATAAGACTTATCACATCCCAGGGAAACACCAACACATGACAGTAGAAAGTAGCATTAGATCAGACTTATCACATCACGATGATGATGACAGAACGTGACACCATTAAGGTGTATCATTGCATCAGACTTGACATCTCACAGTACTGTAAAACAAAACATGACACCACTAGGATTTATTATTAGATCAGACTTGATGCCGTATGTGCGACTCATCAACATATTATATTAGACTTATTACCGTATGTTAGACTTATCAACGTATATTAGAAGACTTATAAATGTATGTGGGACGATTCACCGTATGTTAAGCCTTATCACCGTATGTTCTGTAGGGGGTGGTCCGAGGCGGAAGTATGTTCTGTAGGGGGTGGTCCGAGGCGGAAACTGTTTAAACGAATTCTTAAAATTAACACGAATTATATACCAACCGACCAGAGTCCAAGTGGTATAAAACTCGTAAGGAAGGTTAAAAATTAAAAGAAAGAACAATTGCTCGGATATTTTAGGAATTCCCAATGCTGAACTTGTAATTTAATGAACAATAAACTTCTTACCCCTTTACTTAAATTATAGTTGTTGAACTAAATGGTTGGATTTTGTTTTTTTTTACTTGAATGCATTGAAGGGGATCTCCTTGCTTGTTCTCCCATCCGTAATGATTCCTGAAACTAGGATTTATTTTGATTGCAAAAATATTAGCACGCGAATTCTCGCTTAATCTATTAATAATGTCATTTCAAATTCAAAAAACGATAAGATGTGGCCGATGATTGATAGCAACATCGAGCTGAGGTCAATAAAAGGGGCTGCGTAATGTGTCGTATCGTTACGCCCGTACTGAATTCATTTACTGACTTTCTTTCTCCCTATAACGGTCATACGCTTTTAAATGTTCTTTTGTAACTACTTGCCCTACGCCATTTTCTATAGGCTGTAACAAAATATATATTCGATCATAATGGGAGAATGTGATGCGTGCTTATTAAAAATTGACCGATATTTCTGGCACAGCGCCAGAGGAATGCCCCTTATTCCACTCGGACTCGGGTCGGTTGGTATACGAAGGTGGAATTCACATCAATTTAAAGGACTTGTTGTTGTAGCGGTCCATTTCGTCAGCTGATCGAGTCCTAGAGTGGTTCCGCCGGTTTTGTTTTTCGTTATGCAAGCTTAACGGTCACGCTTTGTGCTTCTTTTATTTAATTTTTAAATACACCAGTTATTATGAAGACAACTAGAGCGCTACATGACATAATACAGTCTTGTCAGCAGCACGTTGGAGATGAAACACTGTTAACGTGTGATTGCTTTGTTTAATGACACATAGTGTGACGTCCCCCACCCTTCCGGTCTCCCCTTTTACAATATTTTGTGTCGCATACTTTCATAAGGAAAAATCGCCCCCATCCTTCGGGTCTCCCCTTTACAATACATTTGATCGCATACTTTCATACGGTAAAATCGCCCCCCACCTTTAGGGTCTCCCCCTTTACACGTACTTTCTATCGCATACTTTCATGTGGACAAAGCGCCTTACGAAGAATACAATAGTAACAAAACAACAGATCAGTTTAAGCATAGGCGCGTACATCCATGATGATAATATCTACATTATGATTTTCATTATCTTGTGAGTCGCCCCAGCCTCTCCGGCACTTGACACATTGGATTAATCCGAAATTTGTTGGGTTGTCTCAGGAAGTACTTTTGACTTCCGTCTTTTACTGACTTGACTAATGTGTTGTAAACAGTTGATCACATCACTTACTTAGATCTGTGCCTCTTGGATTGTATTTGTATAACGCTAAGACTACAGGCCTGCAGTTCTCAAATATGCATAGGCCTGCAGTTCAAAGATGTTTCCGGCCAGTGAATCTGTTTCGTTATCTCATATCACCACTCCTATTTTTGTCGCGTTCTCCAGGATCCTCGACTATGCTCAACATGTCCCAACCAGCAAGTGTAACGGAAAGTTTTACTCTAAACACCGCCATTGATTGGCTCCCGTGAACGACGTGGCGATAATTGAGTTGCTTTTTGATGCCGGCTGTATTGGAACATTCGACACGCAGTTATCGGGAGTGATGGGGACATATCTGACCACTCTCTTGGCTCCCACCCCCCCCCGGTCTGTTTCCCCTTGAATTACTCTTCAGCAGTGTTTAAAAAATGAATCTCTCGAATGCTGAATATTTGTATTAAGTGGACGAAAATATACCACAGCGTTTCTCTACGTGGGGGCGCCCCTAAAAGGGGAGGGGGGTGGGCTATTTAAGGTTTATGGTGGACATTATGTAGCTGGCGGAATTTATTTACACATCGGTAAGGGGTTGCATTGTTTGGTGGGAAATGATGTGGGTGGGAAGTTAACCTTTTTTTTTAATATTAAAGACTTTCTTTCTGCTGGCATTTCCATCTTGCGGAAGTTTTTGTTTACTCACGTGACATTGTTAGAGTGAGTCTTTCTCGTGCAGAGTTCATCCGGTGAACGGTTGCAAAATGACACCGGGTCGACGGATGTGGGGGAACACTGGCGCCCAAATTAATCGCGTTTACAATTTTAATACGAAAAAGTAGAACATTTGAAATACTTTCTATCACAGACGAGTTGAGGCACACACAAAAAGTAGAGAATAATTGAAATTTTCTTATTAATGCATTACGCAAAGAGGTCTTTGCAGAAAATATTTTTAAAAATTTTTTAAATGATAAGTTTCTTCGAAATTTCATCGAAATTTCTGCGCTCTTTCGTTTTATGTAGATATATATTCTGCTTTTTTGAAACTCGTTTTTGACAGAATATAAAGTTATATATATAGTTGCTCCGCTAAGGCGTGGGGGAAAAGGGTTGGGAGACAAGGGCCTACCTTGAATATTGGGTGATTGTGCAATCAAAAGTTGGGAGACAAGGGCCTACCTTGAATATTGGGTGATTGTGCAATCAAGAGTTGCCATTTTTCAGTCCACCTTTTCACGGACATCCCAAAATTTTAACAACTTTTTTTTGTGTGTGTGGACGGGTTCCCTCTCACTCACTCTCGAGGAAGGCTTCAAATTTAAGTCAAGGGCTGTATTTTGTTCTCACACACTTATGCATCCAGGATCAAACAATGCAATGCTATATTTTCTGAAAATCTTATGATGGCGCTTCAGGAACTGGATTTAAATATTTGTTATCGCTGATTTTCTTTATATCTCTCATGCACACATCGTGTGGTTGTAGTGTGGGCTGCCAGCGCCCGGGGGGGGGGGGGAAGGCCAGTTTGTGGGCGCCTACCTTTATGGTTTTCCCCCCCCCGAATCCCTTCCTTGGGTTTTGTTTTTTTTTCTTTTTAACCCCCCCCCCCCCAACTGGATGTGAATTGTATTTTAATAAAATACTGTCCTATTTTAGATTTTATAGAGTTAACATTGCTTCTCAATTATTTTTGTTTGAAATTGTGCGCCCGGGCTAACCTCTTTATGGTCCCCGACGCTAGGCGACGCCTCTGCACTCACCGATTAACTTTAAACTGACGGATGCATGTTGTGTCTGCGGGTGATAAGACTAATCTCTACTGCGTAAAATGCACATAGTCTGAAAGTGCCTCCGATCAATTGGAATGCACTGCGTGTTTTTTTTTTTGGTCAAGGCCTGGTACTTGGTTTGTCCAAGGCTGTTGTCGCAAATCGGAACTGAAACCAACTAACCCCCACTCCCTCGCTTAAGCTTATCACTCACGGTGTGTGCTGAATCACTGACTTCAGTGATAGAACCATTACTCGCTCTCCCAACAGATGAATCACCAAGGACTCAATCTTTGAGTTCACTAAATACATTGACGTCAGTTAGATCTATATTTTTTAACGAAAAATTATTATTATTATTTTTTTTTTTTTATCCTTACGAGGCCGGTCATTGCTTTCAGGCAAGGCGATGTCTGTATTGTTTGCTCTTGCGTAGATATCATGTGATTTCGATCCCCCCCCCCCCCCGAACAAATACTTTATTTTTTAAAATGCAAATCTTCCCCTATGCTATAGTTTTAAATTGCCACTTATTGGAGAAACGCTGAACTACTAGTTCCGCTATTTTTCCAGTGCTAACAGTTGATTCTGGAATGGGCAATGCTGCAAAAATAACCTATAAAATAAACGCCCCCATTCTGGTGGAGGACACGCTATAGGCTATGTCGAACGTTTTGTATAATGCATCTAAGTATAGTGCTTACAGCCTTGCATTTTAACGTTATGTACACTAGAGGGATTGGTTACATCGATTAAATCTCATTCTTTTCTTCTTTTTTTTTTATAAAAGCTTTGGTTTACCGGTAATCAGTCATTTCACCAATACATTTCTGTTAAATCAATAACATGTTCTAACCTATCGGCCGCTTTGAATAACTCTTTCCCTGATCGCTGATAGACTGAATTTCATGACGCTAGAAGTGAGGTAACTGCCGCGTGGTTTCTACTGATGCGTTACAATAAATATTCCCAGCCGTAAGGGACGGTGAAGTGACACACTGACCCAATTGAACTGAACGTCTTGTTGTGTGTTTATGTGGGTGTCGGTTGTCGGGAGAGAAACACAGAGATTGTTCACTTGCAATTACGGCTAGTTGTAAATATGCTCATCCCAAGTCACGTAAATATTCAGTCGTAAGAGTATATGGTGCATTCTGCTATATTTGCAGGGATGTAGATTGGGGCGGTCCACCCCGGGCCTGCACTTATTTTTACTTTATATTGAAGGGCAGCATTGTGGGCCAACTGCAGGTTGGGGGGGGGGGGTTAATATGTAAATTTACTCTTGGCGTATTTTATCTTCATTGTGTCAAAGACACATATAATCATACTGTATTCTCCAATAGGACATGGGTTAACAGGTACAAGGCGACCATTTTTACTGGGGGACTGAATTTATATAATTAATTTCTCAAGAAATATATCCAGGAATAAAAGAATATGTTCACTCCTGGGAGAAAGGTGCTGGTTCTTGAGTATTCCTCCCCTGCAATATGGAAATAAGAGAACTTGTCTTTCTCAGGCCATAGGCTCAAACTTGTTATGATATAAATTTAAAGTACATTTTCGTTGATTGTCTAAAGCATAAACTTCAGGGGTGTTTTAATGTTATTTCAGATTACAAGATGATAGTTTTTATTCCAACAATATTAGCCTGGATCCTCCCATGCTTGATTTTCAAGAGCAGTGAGTATCCTTGAAGTCTCTTGGTTTTGGTTTAAGTAGGAAATAAAAGGAGGGTATGATTGGCTAAAAATTGCACTTAAAAAGAAGCTAGAGGTAAAGGTATTTATACTGATATTTATATACCCCCCAAGAACTGTAAATAAGTTGTCTTTTTCAAGTGCTGAAAATTCCATATGTGAAGCTGTTTAGCCTAGTAAACTTATTTTTTATAAATTTCAGTATAATTCAATTTTATTTAATCTTCAGGCCAGTTGGGATGCCTCGAATGGAAAAGGTTATTGTACAAAACAATGATCCAAAACATAATTTGCATCTTTTGTCTATTTCGGGCAGTACAGTTCATTTTCATTGCTCATTTTTCCAAGACAAAGTGAGTATTGACATAGTCATTCTCAGTTTTAAGAGGCCTGACATAGATTATGTTGTACTGATATAAAGGAAACTGAAATAGAAAAAGAGGGGTGGTTCACAATCATCAAATATTGGCAGATTAGGTTTATTTTTTTGTGTTGTAATACAAAAAAAAATTACATTATATTCATTTAACACAATGACTTTATTTAGTTGTATCAGAGGTTCTGAAAGGTTATTGTAATGTAATTTAAATATGAGGAAAGATTTAACTTTAAAACTTAAACTTTTTTAACTTTAGCACAATATTCTTTGTCCAAAAAACTTGCTTGTACACAATGGTCAACAATAGACTAAATAATTGGCATATGGTGTCTGATATTAGAGGGTTTTTTTTTTGTTTTTTTTAATAGATACTTATTAGATCTACATCTTTCAATACAGGCCAAGAATAACTGAGAAGCTAAATGTTTTAGGCATCTTATACATTGCCAGTTTCTTCATACTAATAGTAATAATCACAAAATAAACTGAGAATTGACTGTTAAAGTTGTGTCATTATTAACAAACTGACATAGATGTGAGGGCAAGTCCTCATGCAATCATTTAATTTTTATTTTTTTTAATCTTCATGGATCTAAATTTATTTAATAATCTTCACAGATTGTCCCACCTGGGGGGAACACAAGTTTCGATGTTGTTTTTCTTGCCCGCCAGGTGGGCAATGTGGAAAACACATTATTCATTCATACCTCCATAGGTTCTAGAAGATATCAGGTAAGTGAAGGACTTGAGATACAAAGAAAATTATATAATTAAAATACTACAAGTAATATTGAAAAAATAATTGTTATTTACTTTAAGCCAGATTATGTTCTGCCATTTCATTTCATGTGTGATTTCAGGCTAATTACTTTTTTCTTTTAAAATAACAAAATGTGCCATTTAAGCTACCAAATAGAAGTCATAGAAGACGCATAACAATCTATCAAATTAAATATAAAATTGATACAAAACCTAACCCCATTAATTTGAATAAATAGAAAATTTTTAATTTATTGATCCAACATGCTAATAAACTGTTGAATTAAATCATTTTTTTCTTTCATAGGTTTTTGGGATTGGTACCCCTAATCCATATCGACTAAGACCATATCTGGGGGCACGGGTGCCCATAAATAGCAGTTTTACACCCGTCATACAGATGCATAATCCTTACAGCACTCGATTACAGGTTGGTAGTTGAAGCCACATAGATCAGTTTGTTTCAATATTGATTTACAGTGAATGTTACATGTAATGGATCTTTAGTGGTTACTGATCTTTTCACGTTTTACCTAGAGCCAGCTGAAAAGAAGTAAGTAAGTAAATGCTTTTGACTTGGAGTTATTGGAAAGTCTTGAAATAAATGCCAATAATGGCTTACTGTATAAATTCTGACCCATTTAGAGTGTGTGTAAGAATTGTGAATAGAGTACAGCAGACTCAGATTTGTTACCTATTATCTAAGAGTGATACAAAGTATGCTTCATTAAGTACATTCTATTTTAGGTGTTGGAGATGTTTGCAAGTGAGGGGGATTTACACTTAGAATTACCTTCTGGTGAAAGGGAGGCTTCACAGGAGCTGTGGGTATGTAAGATCTGTTAACTCTTACGATTTTGGCATGCAATGAATGATTTTGAGGTGTATGCATTATAATATAATGTGCAATATATATTAAATACTGCAAGTTTTTTTTCTATAAAGAGAATATATTGAACGGTTATGTGATGATATTGTACGATTTTAAGAGTTTGAGGGTAAACAGTTCTGGTATGTTGACTTCAGTTTATCGCCTGGTCTTAGAAAGGTAACTGATGGTGCTTCTTACAGAAAATTTACATTGCTGTCACAATATGGTAAATACATGTTAAGATCAATTGTAGTCTCTTATTCTTTTTATTTTCTTGTCCTGTTGCTTTTTATCAATTAACTTATTTTTGAGCTGGGGAGCTTTGTAATGAAATAAATTGAACTGTTGCAGGAATTAAAGCCTTTTGAAACTAAGGCTGTTATGAAAGCAAATTTTGTGGCTCGTGTGGAAAGCAACCATTCGGCATTTATTCGTATTAAAACTAATAAAGAAGCAGAGCACAGAGATGGCCCACCTGAGTTGCTCATTTTACCACTTGAGATAGAAGTTTCTGCAGGTAACGCACAGTGATTGTTGTTTCTTTTTCACTTTTCAAAATTTGCATATCAAAAAAAAATTGGAAATCAATACTTTTTAATTAATGGTTGCATTTTCACAGCATTTTCAATAAAAACTCAAAGACTGTCAAGACTGAAAAGAGTACATACAATGTGATAAAAACAAATTTTCATTTATTTGGATAAATAAAAGAACATTATCTAATTAGTATGATTTTTATTAAAGGGTATGGGGGGATAAATTTAATAAAGTCACATTTTATAGCTGCATACTTACTACACAGCCATTAGCAACAAAGCTAACACAGTAACAGATGCTTTGGTCATTCGGTATAATTACAGTGTCACCCTAAACAAAAATTGAAAGAAGTTATTGTTGATATATGGCCAAAGGACAGTAAATCTGCCTAAATCTTTGTCCTAATCCCTTTGAAAAAGGGTTTTTTTTTTTCATATTTAAAAATAATCATTTATATTTTAGATCCTGGCATATACTCTCCTGTGGAGCTGTTAGATTTTGGTATATTACGCACTTTAGATGAACCAAAAAGCGTTCGCCTTAATCTTATAAACACAGGGCCAAAAGCAGTTCACATTACTGTAAGTTCTAGCTTTTTACTTTTAGGTCTTGAAAAAATGTCTATTTAGTTATGTATGGCATTAGGTGTAAGTTTTGAGTGTATTTTTCGTAGACTGTTTAGTATTTCAAAACTATAGATGGGTGGTGTAGCCAATAAGACAAGAGAGGCAATCAGATGATGCGTTTTTCAAGACATAAGAGAGGCAATCCGATGATGCGTTTTTCAAATTGTGTGAAATAATGATCCCTAAAAGTTCTGGCCCTCACCTGTGAAATGTTTTACTTATTATCCTTGTCAAAAACTAAGTGATAAAATATGTGCAAAGAATCTGGGGTGTGGGGGAGCTAACTGAAATAAAAATTCATGGTGTGTTAACATGGTGCGAAACATGTCTGCCAGGCAAAGGATTGTATGGGTAAGCTGCAAGGTCAGACACTCAGCAAGCACTGTAACATTATCATAATTAATTTTAAAATTGATGCTATCATTTTGATTTAAATGTATTAATTTGATTAACCAAGTGCCACTCAAAAATATATATTTTTTAAAATGGCTAATTTACATTACACTAAATAAATATTCCCTTCATTTATTGTTATCTCATTTTAGAGTGTCAATGTTTCCCCACCGAATGATGCTGTTAGTGTGGATTTCCGTCCTTTTAAGTTACAGCCCGATGGGAGCAGGCCTACTACAATAGCTCAAATCACTTTTAGGGGTCAGTTCAATGAAAACTTACATTATATATTTTTATTTTTTAAATTTTTCTTTAATTCATCACACACAAAATAATTATTTCAAAGATTTTAGTTATTTTGTCTGTCTTCTGGCAGAAGATATGGATGATTAAGTCTTACTGGGGGGAAAAAAATCTATATTAATTATAGTTCTTAGGCTATACTTTTTCCCTTTATTTTTTTTTTCCATTTAGCTGTGAAAGCTCTGCAATCAAAGCAGTGGGCAGGAAAGATAGTTATTAAGACAAAAAATAATATTCAAAGATTGGTCATTCCTTACCAGGCTAATGTATTGCATGGGTAAGTTGTTTAATATAATTCAAAAAATGTTTAGGAAAGCTCCATCATATGTGTGTGATGTTTATTTGTATATTTCATTTTGTTTTCTTGAAATTAAATTTAGATGAAATAATCAATAATCTTAGATAGTTCCTTCTAGGTCAGTTAATTGAAATGTGGTATACTTTATATTCCCCTTAAATTTGATTATTTAATCATGGTTATGAAAATTTGGTATTAAATCATGGTTATGACTTTAATTTCAGGTCTCTGGTATATAATGTGAACACCACACATTTTTTTAGTGCTAAAGCCTTGTGGAATGTTACCAGGCCACTGATGTTCACTAACACTTTTAACTTTTCTGTAGTCATCTATAATGTCAGCTTGCCACCAGAGGTTTCCCATTATTTTACTGTGAGTTACTTAGTCTTATTCTTTTATAATTTGCTATTAAATTAAGTTTAGAAAGTAAATAGAAAACAATACAACTTATTAGATTAATTTTAAAATTTTAGGGTTGTACATCTTTTTGCTATTCCGTAGGTTACAAAAAGTCCTAAAGCGTTGCTAACACAAAACAGATATTTTGTTCATTTCTAGCTTATAAATTATTAATTCTTATGAATTGGGGGAAAATATTTCTCTATATATAATATAATTTTTGGTAAAATAGAAAATAATATAATGAATTTTCCAATCTTGTTTCATTGTGTTTTAGATTGTGAACTTTAGCAAGCCTGTGATAATCCAGCCCCAGCAGAGCATTGCTAGTTTCCTGCTCAAGTTTCACCCAAATCTAACACAGATACACTTTAATACAATGCTGACACTCAGCACCAATGCCTCCACCTTCACCATTCCTATTATAGTTTATAATGGCCTCATGAAGGTAGGCATCATCTCTAGTGCCAGACTTAAGATTATAAATATATTTATTAGAACTTATCAGGAAAAGATTCTTTTTATTTTAAAAAAAATTACTTTCAGGTGATACATCATCGGCCAGAAAAGTTTGAAGGTCAATTAGATTTTGGCACTCTAGGTGTCGGAGAGTGCAGAAGTATGATATTTACCATCCGCAATGACAACCCTGTAGATGTAAGTTCTCATGAGTATAATTACTTATTTATAATTTGAAACCATAGACTTCTGAATAATTTTGGTTTATTACACCAGGCTGACCAAACAGTATTTTTTGTTTATGACTGATGCCACAAAGATCTGATATTTAGAAATTCCGACTTGAAATATGAAATCCATGGTCTGCAGTGTTTCCTTCTCAGTGGTGATATACACTTGTGTAGGAAGCCCAGAAGACAGTTTCAGAGAATATTTAAGCAGCATTAAAATAATCAACTCTCCTATTTCTATACATTAAAATAGAACTAATGGCCCATTTCAACTTTTAATAGCAAATAAATTGAAGTTGCAGATTTAGACAATAAAAACTTGATGGCATCTACAACATTTGTATTTACATGCTACTAGCCCATAGTTTCTGCTGTTGTAATTCATATTTCTTCACCACCCACGTTTTTTGGACTTGGTACAAAAACCTTGATATTCTTATGTCATTTTGTATTATGCTATGGTTACTATTTATATGTTGTGGCAAATAATTTCTTGAATGTTTACTGGCAGTGGAAAACAGTGTGTTTATTTGAACAAAAAATTTGAATAGATGTTTGCTGGCATTATATCTAAACCATTCAGTCTATGAGTCTCTGACTAGATGGGAATTTGTATGCTTGCAGATTGTTGTTGCCCGTTTTCAAACAAACATGTCATGGGCATCGGTAGAGATATTAGGGATGGAGAAGGGAAATGGAACCACCCTTACTCGCAAGCATAATCAATCAGAGATTAACACAGACCCTGTGAGTGGACCAAATTAGCTCTTAAATGTTTTGAAAAAAATTTTATTATTTACTATAATTGTCTTCTATTATAACTGTTAAATTAGTCTGTGAGATAATTATATTTACCCACTCCTGGATAATAATAAAAACAATTGTTACTTCTTTAGAATAATCTTCTATATAAACAAATAAATTTCTCTTTTATTTCTGCAGTTATATATAAAGCCTTATCACTATGCAGTGTTCAACGTTAGCATTGTTGCACCTGAAGATGAAGGGGCATATGTAGCAGACATTTGGATGTTCACGCAGTTCCAGGATCTTTTTATTCCTATTATTTTTCGTGCTGCCAAAGGCAGCTTACATGCCATTCCAGACAAGTTTATCTTTGATAAAGTATATCCAGTAAGTGACAAATCTTTGTTGTTAAAATGATTTGTTTATGTATCATTATCATTGTCATTTTTTTGTGTAAAGTCTGAACTCACTCTTTAAGTTCACTAATAAATTTAAGACTAAACTATATTATGTTTATAAAATATTAATAGAGGAAAAGATTGTCAAGACTAGATTAACTCCTCACTACTAGGGATCTAGATGCAACATCATTCACCATTATCTACCTATCTTATGAATCTTAAAGGATGAATAAACTTATCCATTTAGTACTGTTATAAAATTTGAATTATTGTAGTTACATAAACAAGGTAAATGATTTCTTTTTTGTGTTGCAGGGTCGAGTTCCATATAAAGTACTTCAGATACACAGTACCTTTGATGATTACATGGAGGTCACACAGGTGACCTTCCAACCAGCAGATACACGTTTTTATTTTATTCCTCAAAATAGCAACACAGTGCTGTTACAACCTCATGAACATAGCATCGTAAGTTAAATATCCCATACCTTTATACACAAAATCCAAGGATTTTTTTTTTTTTTTTTTCTGACATGATGAAATTTGCCAAGCCCTTGTAATGAATAAAGAGTTCAAACGTACATTTTTACTCATGTTATTTTTAAAACAATAATGATAAGCTTTGATATTAATATTTTTTTTTATTTAAACATTAATCTGAAAAATTAATTTTTATGAAGTTATATGCAGTTTCTATTCTTTTTATATCTTACACTTTATCTTACTCAATAGGTTGGTAAAATATTCTTTGATGCAAAGAAAGATTGTAAAGATGATTGTTATGTAGGTCTACCAACTTTATCACCAGGTAAAAGAAATTTAATTTTAAAAAATGTTTAGACTAGTTCAAAGATACTGAATTTTAAGCTTGAGCTAAGTAAGCAATGAATCCAATGTCATGCTCTCATCCATTTCTTAATTCACTGTGTCTATCAATGTTAAGAACTGTTGTTCTTATTTTTCTTTCTTTTTTTCTTTTTTAAAGTTTTTATATTACTTACTTTAAAAACCTGAAAATTTAAAAGTTTTGTCATTATTCTTTTAAACATCATTTGAATGGGTTTATTGTTTTTCATTTTAGCTGGTCACCAGTGGCTTTTAGGCATGGTACTAGACAAAGATGTTGCTGACACTGATCAGTATCTATATAGCAAACTTCAGCAAAAGTGGGACAAGTTGGAGAGTTTGCAGCAAAGCATGTTAGTTTAAGACTTGCATTATTCTGTTAGGAACTGTTTCATTACTGTTCAATGGTTTTCTATATTTATATTGTGGAATTAGACTACAGCTATTTTACCATCATTATATTATATTATGCATTGCAGCTAAATTCATTTATCAGGGCTAGGTTATTTCTCAATTTGTGTATAAATTTGCTTGGGATATTTTAAAGATTGAACTCCCTCTGTAGTCAATACTTCAGTCTCTATTAACTGAAAGTATTTACATTGCTATTTTCATTTGCATTTTATTCTATAAATTACAAAAATTGACTTTAAATTTTTGCCATTGTAATTTCCCAAGAGTTGTTAACCGAAATGATACAAATTTTATATGTATATTTTCAGAGCCAATGTCACCATTGAGCTGGATACCAACCATGTGCGGGGATTTTTATTTTCAGCACAGGCCCACCTTCAGTGGCCTATGCTTATTCGAAAGTCAAAAATAAAATATCCACTCACTCAGATAGGAAATTTGTCTGTAAGTTGCACACAGTCTTGGTAACTCTTTATTACCTTTTCAATGAAACTTAACTATTATATTTATTAATTATTTTGTCGCGGGAAAGAGATGAGATAAATGTCCTGCCACATTAGTATGTTCAGAGACTAATACATTTGTTTAGGTTCAAATTTAATTTAAAAAATCTTGTAAAAAGCTCCTGTTAAAACCATCTGAATTGAAGCTAACTTCGTTATCATCTTATGCTATCCAAAAGCCAACTAACAGGTTTAAAAAAAAGGCTAATGCTAATTAATGTGCAGAATGGCAGATTAGGTTGATTACCGGTTAGCCGCCTATTAAGCGGTGCAACATATCTCAGGCTGCTATGTTAAATGCTATCTCTGAATCCAGTGTTTGAGTTGAGCCTTACCAGATTTACACACTGCCAATTTCAAGGCACCTTCAACTTAAACTTATTTAACTTGGTGTAACTTTTAACTTATACCTCTCTGATACATTGTGGATGTGCACTCTAAAACATAAACACTTGTGTTATTCTAAAAATTTGTGGGAAAAGTTGTAAAAGTAACACTAGGAATGCTTTTTCTTTTTTTTTTATTTAACTGCTAAAAATTTTTTACCAACAGGTATCAGACTTTATTGTTGAGAACCCTGGTGATGAGCCCGTTGTAGTGCAGGTTCTCCCTCTCTCATACTATCCCAGTCCCCATACCATTCTTGAACTTATGGGTCAGAGGTTTGTTGTATGATTTTTTTGTAAAATGTCTCTATTTAAAATATTAAATTACAAATGTTATTTGTTGCCCATATTAAAAAAATTCACTCAGATTTTGTTTTTTCTCTTGCATGGAACTGTTGATAAGTTAACCCAGGAACTGTGGTCGGCCGATTTCCTCTTTCTGTACTGTGTCCGCCGATAAAAATTTCGTTGAAAGAAAAACTTCCAGACTAATATTTTACAACCATATGTTTTCTAAAACATATATAAAGAATACATTTTCTGAAAGATAAATAAAAATGCTATCATATTATATAAACATTATAATAATATGCCTTTAAAAAATTGTAGTTTGAGGTACTTGAAAAGAAACATTTTCTTTGTTCTTGGTCACTCCAAGGTCATGGTCAGCGAGTATAAAATATCATTAAAAATAGCCAGTATGATTCCCCACTCAGTCTACTTTCAAAAAATATATACGTTATGGGGTCTAGCTATAGTATTTGCATGTGAAAAATCACCTTTTTCAAAGGTACCCAAAAAGCTCTAAATGGCCTGCACAGTACAGAAACATAACATAAACAGTTCATGAGTTAATTAAAACTGAAGTTCAAATATGTGACCTCATGAGAGATGTAGAGCTAAACTTCCTTTGACATTTCATACTTCAGTAGCTCATGTGTTGAAAAAAAATTCAATTTTAGCTTATAAATAAACTATCTGTTATGTCCCAAAATAGTTGAAAGGAAATATCTTACCCTATATGCTTTTCACAAGACCGTTTACTGACCCTGTAAAACTTTAAAAGTGTGTACCTCGCTCATAAGCAGACCCCATAAAATAATGCCAGTAAAAGCAATTCAGTGCTAAAAAAATATTATTCTTTAAAAAATTTCAAAATTTTAAAATTAATTATTGTGTGAGTAAAAATGCATAAAAAGTAATAAAAATAAAGTATATACAGATACTGGCTTCGCATATCTAAAAAAAGCAAATATTTGACCTCCTTCTCATTCCTCATAAACTAAAATATTATTAAATGGTTGCTACAGTGGTTGTTTTCTGCCTTTCAGATTTGCCCAAGATCTCACAGATTATATTGAAAGTGATGAAACAAATACCTTTGTCTTATATGATCTCGAGCCAATAGGAGTAAGCTAACGTTAATTTTTTAAGCCCACAAAATCTACTTGTAATAGGCCTTTATTCCTACCAACTCAATCTTTCTATCAACTATCTTTATATTTCAAACATCCTTTTGTTTTTACTTTTTACAAAAACCTCATACATCTTTGTTCAGACCTAATTTTATTTTCAAAATATGTAAGACTTAAAATAAAATTTGGTTGGTTTAAATACAGACGGGTTCCATTTTTCCAAAATTTTGGATTTAAAAAAATCAAGGTTTAAGAATTTGCGAAAGCCTATTCTGCGAGAGCGGGTTCGCTATATAGGGAACAGGTACTACTGCTACCTCTTGCTTTTGTTTGCAAGCCTCTCGCTTTCGATTGTTATCAATGAACAAGAAGTTATTTTTACAGTGTATGTATTTTATGAGTATTGTTAAGTTTCAGGGTTTTAAAAATTTGTCAATGAAGTTTCAGGTTTGAAGAAATTTTTAGAAAGGGATTTCAGGGTTCACTGCTTTCAATGAGTGGCACCCCTGAATAACAACATTAAAAATTTAAAATAGTGATCTTTTTGCTGAGATTTTTCTTTGTCAAGTAACAATATTTTTTGCTTGATCTTTTCAGAAAAGCACTACAACTGCATTAAATCTAGCTCAGCACAGAAAAACTGTTGAGAGCACATTAGGGGTTATACCCCATAAACAAACAGTTGCTGCCATATTGCAACCTGGTACAAAAATAAAAGTCAAGGTGGGATTCCAGCCAAAAGATGATATCACTAGATCTTCCCTCATTGTCATAAGCTCTTTCTTTCACACTGGAGTTGCCAATCGGGGGGGGGGGGGGGGGGGTTGTTTGTTTTATAAAGATGTAGCAATGCTTAAGTGCCAGCAATGTTTTGGCATTTTCCTCCAACTGTGCTAACTAAAGAAAATTTAATGGAAACTCTTGTTAAGGTGCTGCTTAACAATCAGTTTTATTTTATTTCAAGTCTAAAAAGACTTGTACACCATCAATGATATTTTAAATTCCAAGAATTAGTTTTTTGTGAAATTTTATGTCCCATTAAAGTTGGAGAATAGGTTGGCTCTCTATCCATGGGGGAAAGAAGTCTTCATGTTTAAGTTAAATTTTCCTTTGCCTTTCAGAAACAACCTGACTATTATTGATGCAGTTGTAGTTCAAGGTCAAGGGCGTAAAGGTGAAATGAGATTCAACAATAAAAAGCCAGGATCACATGCTGCTCTAACTTTTGAGTTAACAGAAAAGCACCTCAAAAATTGTGATGGTACATTCATTTCAAGTTTGTATTCAGTCTCTAACTTAAATATTTATACATTAAATCAAATCAAATGCAATAAATTCAATTAAACATCTGGTATAAAGGCTGAAATACAGGATTTCCTTGACTTTACTCCTGAACATAATATAATGTTCCCATTTTGTCATTCTAGTATCAGAAAAGAAAAACAAGAACGTCATGCCAAATTTTACAGTGCGTCGACCGTTTACTTTAAGAAATTCTGGTGAACTGCCTTTTTACATTCATGGGTTCAGCATCAATGAACTACCTTGTGAAGGATATGGATTCAAAGTATTTGATTGCACTGGCTTTGAAATGCTTCCTAATTCAAGTCGCAAGATCAACATCGCGTGAGTTACGTTTTTAACTACAGTATTGTTTGGATTCCCGATTTTTTGTTTTAGGTTTAACTAAATTTTATCAGGCCATTTTATTTCAAAAGCAAAATTTATTATTTCAAAAAGAAACAATGTATTAATGTAAAATAAGTATAGTTATTGAATTAAAAAATGTCTCATAATTTAATAAGAAATGATAAAATCTGTATAGCTGTATTCAATGGTTTTATATCAGTATAGTTTTCTTAACTTGAAATCTGCAGTATCGGTTATAAAAATTAGTTCTAAATTTAGTATTATGACTAATTTTCATGGGTGATTATATTTTTCGCTCCACAGGTTTACACCAGATTTCACAATGTCTCAAATCCAACGTATGCTGACCATACACACCAGTCTAGGGTCTCCAGCCAAGGAGGCAAACTACTCACTCCAAGCCATGGTGCCCTATGACCTTCTTTCTCAGTGCTCTGCAGCATTGCCTCGCCCCACCTGGGAACCAGTGCTCTACTACTTTGTAGTGATCATGATGGGTTTCATTATATGCTGTATCATAGTCTTGGCATATTTTGAATCAGACAGGGTCATGGCAGATTATATACGCAAGAAATTAAAAGCTACTAATGGGACACCAACCTCGTTTGATAAAGGAAAAATATTTGATTTAAGGAATGTAGGTGGATTATCTGTCACATCAAATCAAAACTCAACGACCAATTCATGTACATCAATTGGAAGAACAACTCCAGCCATATGTAATACCGCTTGCACTAACAACAGACCCTCTGTTATGATGAATGGTCATGTTGATATTGATAAAGATCGCGGTATCAACAATTTACATGATCATATTAACAACATTTTGAACTCATCCTCTGTTTCCACCAAAGTCAATGGGGGCAATAGACACTCAAAGCGCACTTTATCAGGATCCATAAAAAAGTTTTTTTCTTTTTTCAAGTTTTTTTACTCTCCAAAAAAATCCAATGCTGCTCATCAAGAAAAACCTGCTATGAAAGATTCTGGTACGTCACCACCAAGTCCAATACAAAAACCAACGGCCACTGTTTCAGCATTGAGACAGGAGCCAGCTATTACTGCCATGGTTTCATCGTCAACCCAAGAGACCAGTGCGCTGTCTGAGAAATCCATACCTAACAACTCCAACTACTCATCACGTACTCGCAAAGGGCGGCTTAACAATCGTCGACAGATAGTTGTTGATGCTTCAGGTGATACCAATATTGACTCAAGCTTTAGAAAGCTTAAAGAAAACCCATCCTCTTCAGCAGATCATTCATCTGGGAAGAGGAATTCAAACTCTGTCATTGATGATTTTGAAGATATTCCAATTAAATACAGTACAGGAATTGATGAAATTGATGATATAGAAGAAATCGATCTTAAACCAGATTTGACCCACACAAAACATGGTGAGTTGGAATATTTATTTAACAATTCTTATCTAAGCCTAGTATAAAATCTTATCTAGATCTAAATATAGTCTTAAAATTTTTTTATACCAGGATACAGAAAAACATGACATTGACAGTTACAAATATAGAAATAAATTTTGTCTTTGGAATGCTGAGATCAATACAATCAAATTTAAAGGAATGTGTGTATTCCCTCACAACCATTATTGATAACATGATGACTATCTAAAGTAAAACAATGTACAAATAATGATAACAAAGACTTTAAAATAATTTCCAAAAAGAAAAGAGTCCACTCATAAACACAATTAAGGAGGGCCAGTTTCACTGTAAGTTGATTCACACTGACACTTTAATGATGCCAGCCTTTGATGTGATATATTCATAAATATTACAATCCTATCCAAGTCAATTTAAAATGGTATTAATGATTGTGGTGCCCCTTTTATAATTTCAATCGAGATAATTTTATGATATATTTGGAAAGTTAACTATATTAACACATTTTTGCATCAAAATAGATGATAAACTATTGGATTTTTCTGTTTAGCAAATGGTTTTAAATCTATAACCTACCAATTTCTTTAATGTTGCAACCCTACCTCCAAGCAGGAAAATATTAATTATGCAGCAGATTGATTATATTATGCTTGCAGATTAGAGTGCTTTTCCCCTTTTCACGTCAGTTCAACAATGAATTTAATATATACAAAACACAAAATTATTTTTTAAAAATATCTAAATTTAATTTTAAATATTGTCTTATAATTAGATGGTATCTAAAAATAAATAAATCAATCTTTGATTAAATCTGTTAGTTCCCCATTTCTCTAACTGTTCCTGTCTCTTAGTTTGAGGCCATCTCAATCAAAACCTAACTGAAATTTTTTTTCCCCTCTTGCAGTGAATAAGAGATGGAACAAAAACCAAAAATCCAAATCTAAACAAGAACATTCAAAAGAATCCATCCTGCTCCATTGTGACAGCTCTCTTGCTGATGATGGGGATGATGTGTCCTCCACCACAACAGAATCATCAGGTGCTGACGTTGAGGAAAAGGTTAGATATTTTTATGTATGATATTGGAATAAGATTACTGCTGCTATTTTCTTAACAATATGTATCACAAGTAGTAATAATCTAGGTTTGTTTATTTAATGGCTGTAACGCTGTGTTCAATAGGAGCGCAAAACAAAATTCTCATAAGTTAGCACTCATTGGGATTCTTAGAAAGTTCTTCACTTGAATCCATGTTTAGTCTAGAAACATTAGTAGATAGCACATTACACGCATTACCGCCACCATTGTTAGGTTGGTTATTTCTAGTATTGTTATAATTTTTATTTTATTGCATTTGTTATTGTTTCTCATAAGAATAATATATCCATTATATCACTAATGAAATTTTATATGAAGTGTGCTTTCTCCACCTCCCAAATTACAAATCTTTTCTTTTTATAATCAACTTAAATTTTAATAACAATTATCCCACTACGTCTTAGTTATGTTAGACTAAAATAATATAAAAGTGAACTCAGCAAATGTTGTTTTGACTCCACAGGCTTCTATCGGACATGACAATATATCAGAATTAACCACCACCTCCTTAGGCACTAATGCTGTTGGCAGCAAGAAATGGAAAAAAGGAAGCATTAAACATGGAGAGCGTCTGGTTGTAGCCACGCATGGAGGTGATCTGATTGATGATGATTCCAACTTTGAGGTGACTTCCAAGTCCAAAGCCCACCGTAAGATTCGTGTCAACAAAGAGACTTTTGGTGGGGATATCATGATACCCAGGTATATTGTGTTGACACTTAAATGATGGCTGCGGCCTAAGGGACATGGCTCCCTACAGCCACACCTTGAAATGATATATCATTAGTTTAATGTTGAAGGACAGAAAAGATATGCTAGGTGCTGGATAGACCACTGTCTCATAATATATCTTTACATAGTACTTTTATATTTAAACTGCTAATATTTAAAGAAAGAGATAGCCTGGGTTTCTTTTCAATTACACTTGCAGGAAATTTAAGAAAATATTTCCTCTTATTTAAAATCATTTGTGTCCTGATCATTTTGTGAAGTAGTGACAGAGGCTATGATATAGCTTCATGAATCAATCATCTCAAATTTTAATCTCTGTGTTGTGATAATATCTAACAGAGTTCTGTTTATTAATTCCTTGTAAACATTTGCTGTATTTTCACACTAGAATTTTCCTAGTTACCTTTAACAAAAGAAATATCAATTATTGCCTTAAGCTTCCTTGGTAACTTTAATAAATCTATATATTTCTTGACATATGATGCCTGCTGATTAAATGATTGTTATTGCCATCCAGCACAATCGAGCTCCCATACCTCCCTAAGGAAAAGGAAAGAACTGAAAGTGACACAACCAAACGTGCCAAGAAAGCTAAGAGAAATCCCAAAGTAAAAGGTAAATTGATTGTCAGCTTTTTAATATATCACATATAGTTTGGCTGTTATCATTTATTCACCGTTGTGTTTGATGCCCAAAATTTTTAAAGTTAACTTGATAGAGGTCACTGTGTTGGAAATGATAAGAGCCTTAAAAAGACATTTCATTTTACAAACAAAAAATTTTAATCTCATTTTAATATAATTTTGATTTGTTAAGCATATTTAAGGCTGGAAGTTTAGTCCATGACCATTCATTTATTGTCATTGTTGATAATTTGGTTAATTTTTCTTTTTTAACAATCAAATTATTTTTTTAAATTTTTTTCTGCCAAATAATAAACAATTTTAAAAGAATATTTTTAAAAATTTAATGTATTAAAAACAATGTGTTTTCCTTTTCATTAACTCAAAAGTGTTTAAAATTTTTTTATTATTTGAGTTCTGTCATATTTAACAATACAATGGCCTTTTTAATGTCAAATAAAACATTCAATATTACCGTTAGCATATACATTTGTGCAATTTGTTAAACAAGTTTATGGTTCTGTGAATTTTTTTTAAATAGTACACTTTTTTTTATCAAGTCTGGTCTCTTATAGTATTTCAACACAAACCCTGTATTTTCTGTGATCCCCATACAATGAATACAATATACTCTATTGCATGTGTCATGAAAGCAAAATAACTCACATCAAATATTTTTACACAAAATGGTGAAGGGTGTACCAGCTGAAAACATCTTTGATACAAAAATGTTCAAAATTCAATTGCTTAAAAAATCAATAAAATGTGTTTTTGTTTTAATACCAATCTTATTTTTAGGATCTTATAGTAGTATTTATATTTTCACATTGAGGAGTGATAATGAAATAAACATTTACAGTCATTCTCCATAACTCTTAATGAAGGGATCTTTCCGAGTGTTAAAAAAGATTATCTTTATCTTAAGTAATTTCATACTTGAAAGATAATGAGGTGAACATATAGAAGAGATATGAACACAAAACACTACTATGTAATCGATCAGCCAATATATTTAACCTCCCAGCATGCATCTGGCTTGTTGATAAATAAGTACCAGGTGACAAATTGTGGTATTAAAAATTCATTTTCTCAAGATATAAACATTTTAACAATTTCAAAGAGTATTGCAAGCATGGGGATTACCTGAAGTCTGAGATATTGAGGGTTGACTGTAATCTTATTTTAAACTGTTGATTCTTATAAATCTCCAAAATTGACAATTACCAAAAAAACTGCCTACTACAGATATTTTTGTAAATTTCAGAGTTCAATTTAGATAATCTTTGTTTTTAAAAAATTGCTCTCAGTAGAAATTCAACTTCAAAAAAATCTACTGGAGAATTAACTAATTCTGTCACCTTAGTTTGCTAATACATGAATTGAATGTTGATATGTGTGGGCCTTTAACCACTTTTTATACTAATCTTTTAAATACTTAGTGTTACTGCAAGTTTTGTAACTTCTTGTGTACACACTGGTTGTTACCTTAGAGTGTTTGCATTGTAGCATTAGATTTAGCTCATGTGTGTTGTAGAGATGTTGTAAGCCCATTTTGGTCTTGTCTTCTTTCACCATTCTTGCATTAGGTTTGTCCCCTACAAATATTTACCCCCTGGATGGAACAGAAGGCTTATCTGACACAGGCAGAGAGTCACCTCCCCCTCTTTGGGACCAACAAAGTCTGTCTGAACTAGTTCCTGGTTAGCTGAGCTTTTTATTTTTACAACTTCAACCCTCCCCATTCTTTTCTAGACATTTTTTTGCAAATATGCTAAGTCAAATCAGGTTGATATTCAGCTTAAAAAAACAAACAAACAAAAGAAATTTCTCTCATGCACAACTGATTTCTGATAGGGAAAACCAATGAAGGGGTAATCTGCTAACAAAATGATTCACATGTTAAACACAGAAAGTTGTTACATACAGATGTAGCACTCTTAAAAACATTTGCTTCAACTTTTAATGTACAATGATAAATAAGTTATTTGATGTTATTCTGGTTTATACATCACTTTTAATCAGGTTTTATAATATTTTTAGTTACCATAAAATTATGCTCACTATGAACGGTTTTCAAATATACTAATTTAAAATTACCGTGTTTATATAAACATATTTTGTGGGGGGGGTTTGCATGGTCTCCACTGCATGTTGATTTTCAGCATTTTCTAAAAAATTATTGCTTTTTATTTCATCCCTATTAAAATAAATCGGTTACTGCATGTTTTGTGTGTATAAATAGCGTGATTATAAACCATTATTTGTCATTGTTTTCAATGACCTGTAAACAGTAATAAGCCATTGTTAAAATCAATTATTTTAAATAATTTGTGAAATATTTTTTTCTTTATTATGGCTGAGGGTCTTTAATTTTTTATTCTTTCATCTTTCCCCATTTTTTTTTGATTTGAGGACTAAAATTGCTTCTAATGAGAAACTACTATTTTTTTTGCTAATGTTTTTCAGCATTTTTATAAAATAATTTATGCACCAAAGTTTAACAATTTATTAAAGAGCTATGGTTATTGGATAAAGTTTTAAATGTATTTGTTTAAATTGAGACCTGGCTATCAGAGAACCTTATTGGAGTTTATTGGGACATAAATTTAAGTAGCTAGTTTCTTCAACATTAATTATATGAGAAGCTTAACTCCCCAACCTTTGCTTGCTATGTTAAGTAATGTCTATAAAATTTTTAAAAATGTTCTTATAAACATTTGACTTGATTTTTACCACATTGTAAGAAAAAAACTTTAAGCTTAATCTTACACTTAATAAAATCCTGATGAACTTATTTAATTAGTCTATCTATTTAAAAAAATAAAATTGTATTCCCTGCTTCATTATAAATGTTATTTTACACAGTATCATTTAAAAAAATTCTGATCAGTTATTTTTTGTGTCTTAAAGGAGACCTCAGTGAATTGTCCCTTCAGACGGAAAACTTTATCCAGAAACATACTCGAATGCCAGGAGCTAGCTCTAATGGCCTAGGAAATGTCAACAGTTTAAGTGGACTATCCAACCCTGCGACCTCTTCTGCCAGCAGTAGCCCATTTCCTCCTGACCGCCTGTCCACCAGTAATCGCTCTGGGAGCTACAGCAGCATTGTCAGCAGCTCTACCACCACCACCATGACGGACCCACTTTGTCGCAGTGTTGCTGGTCTTGGTAGGAATGTCAGCAATCTGCCAACTGGATCAGTTCAGCCGGATAATTCAAGATTTGGATCATCGAGCTTTGGGCTATTCACAGAGAATGGTCTGCCTGGCATTATGGCGAGTGGTAAGTGCTGTGAAAGAAGTAAGCCAATACACAACTTCTTGAAATGCAGATAAATTTTGAAATATTTTACAAAGCAAGGACTTCGCTAACCTTTCACAATTTATCAATTATACAAAACTATTTAGTGACAAGTACCCAATGATAGCTTTGCTTGTCTAGTCAAGAAATGTTACAGTTTAAAAAAATTGTTTACACTTTTAGGGTTGGTTTCCAACAAGACCAACCACAACTCCTGGACTTCTGGATCAACCAACTTTACTGAGTCAAGGTAAAACTTGTACTATAATTATTCTGTAATTTATATCTTTCATACAGTTGCTAATCTAAGGCAGAATAAGGTATTGTCCAAAACAAAAAAATGAAGCTCTCTTTGAGTCCTATTTTGCTAATGAATCTCATCATGAATAGAAGGATTTTGGGTTAAGTTATTTAAATATTTATCTTTAATCCATCCCCATGTTGAAATCAATAAATTCAACGCTTATTTGTTTTTAACAGAACCAGTGGCATTGCATAATTGAGATAACTAATTGGATAATCAACTAACAATAAAAGATATTCAGTAAAATAACTATTCATTAATTAGAGATACTAATATTTTCTAAACATGTTTTCTAGCCCTGGTTATGTCTTGCACCCAATGGCTGAATCAAACAATCTCTCTGGATTTGGTATACCTTCACCAAGAGGAATTGATGCATTTGGTTATGGAAACAACGGTAAGAATTAGTTTAAAAAATCAACTTCTGTTCCACTCCATTGTGCAGACCACTCTGACAAAAACTGATTCAGTTTGTTTTTTTAATAAAGCATTAAATTTTTTTCTGATTCTTAAATTTTCCATACCAAAGGTAATGATCTAGTTTAAAGGAAACATGCCTTGGCATCGCTGCATAAATCTGCCACGTACATGGTGTAGGTATTTAAAGGTCAGCATGAGAACACATTAAAAATTCCACATTCCTTACTCTAAAAATATTTTATGTTCGATTGATATTAATATCAACTACTGCCACCCTACTTAATTAATAAATTTTCTTGTTTTATTTATATTACCTTTGCATCAGATCCCGTCTTTTCTCCAATGTACCCTGATAATCTCAGCCAACCTCAAATGACCATGATGCAACAGCTGCAAGTGGAGAGACGCCGTCGTCTATGGGAACATCAGCAAAAATTGAGTAAAGGTCAGAGCAGTCATCAAAATTGATTTTATTTTATAATTTTAATCCCTAATAGATTATCGGCATCCTTCCGTCTCGTGAGACGATGGTGCATCACCGTTTGGTTGGGTTGCATTTTCTAGAGTGGCTGTGCAGTCCTATCCCTAATAAAAGCTGGCTAATTCAGCTATTGAAATTAAGGACCTGATCACCTCTGAGTCACAGTATTTGGACATGTTCAATATTGGTTTGGACTGCCTTTAACATCTTGAACTTGACTTCTGCAGTCTTTATTTCTCCTAGTTTAAATCTTTACTTGGTTTTTGTATGTTTTAAAAGAATTTTCCTGTTCACAAATCACAACTGTCCTGTACTTAACCTTTTATATTCAAACGTCGACCAATTTTAATCTTTATGTTCACATGACGCCCAATGGTGTCTCTTTAACTTAGCAACAAGAAAAATTCATGATGAATATCCCCTTAACCAGGCGCACATTCTAACATGTTTACATCATTTTCCAAATAGATAGATTACAACTCTTAAATGAAAATAGCGTGTTGAATTCCGATTTTCATCAAACTTTGAGTTTTAATGGAGTTAAATGATGTATTTGATCAGTTAATTTATGCTAGCTGTAGTAATACAGATTCCTTCATTTAAATTAAAAAAGTGAAATCGATAACGTTCAATTGACAAAGTTATTGAGTTTACCATCTTATAATGGGGGGTGGGGTGGGGGGGGGGGGGTGTGTTTGTTTCACGGATAGAAGGTTGTTTTTTTTACTCCTTGTGCTGTGTGGATATACAGAGTTTTTGCGTAAGTATTTTAATCTCATCATTTTTCTTCAAACTTCTAGGTGAAGACTGGCCAGGCTTCAGCACTCCACTAATCAGACATGACAGTTTGTGGGACAATGATTTCAGCCCTATGGAACATACAGCATGGTCCAGTAATATTGACTCCACCCCACCGGGAACTGTAAGTGACATGTACAGTTCAATTGTAAGTGTCCTGTGTGAGGTGTGTGTGTTACATGGGTTTAAAACTTTCAATGTTCAATAGCTCTTCTTGACAAGTTACAATGACAACAAATGTATCTCCCCCTGCAACTGTTTTTTTGTATTGCATGTTGTTGCCATTCAACATCAACGTAGATTCCAGGGCCTAGCCCATGATTGACTTTTTATGTCTCTCATTGGGTTTTCGCTTTAAAACATGCTACATTAACCTCAGCGGTCACAACAGGGTCTTACCTCATTAGTTGAGAGGTTTAGATAGTAAAAGTGACCGACAAGTCTATCATTGATAATTGCACACGCCATAGTTGTATGAAAGAAAGGACAGTCTTTTATAACAAAGTTAGAGCTTATTTTTTTAGAAACTTATTATCTAAATTAATTGTAGAATATGCTTAACTCATTTTTTAATCCTAGTTAGAAACGTATGTGATCGCCATTGTTGTTGCCGGAAGTAAAATGGGAACTTTTATGCTTTAAGCTAGTTTCTATCTCTTTTCGTATTTTAATTTTTCTGTCTGCTGTGGAAGGCTCTTAGCCAAATAAGTTCTTATCTTATTTTCATATCTTTCGATTCAAGCTTCCACATACCTTGTTCTACTATTTTCTGCACACAGCTTGAACACAGAACTTTAATTTCTCAGAACACAGGATAATTTATTATTATCCTTTAAAACCAAAGTTGTTAGCCTTATATGTGGGCCACATTGAACCTAACAACTTTCAGCTTCTCACAGACTGCAATATCCTACCAACGTTGAATCCTGAAACCACTTGAATTGGTTTCTGCTGAACGTCATCAGCAAGACCAATTCTTTGCTTTGACCAAACATTTTGTTTTACCCAAATACTTTTCTGTTAAATGTAAGCCTTTTTAAAACCCAGGGCTTCTGGAGCACTCTGACCAACTCTGCCTCTAGTGGCTGGTCATCTCTGCAGTCGCTCGCCAACATCTGGGGGAGCACACCAGCACAGCCAGCCGAACATAACCTGACCAGTCATGGAGGATTCAGCTCTCACTCCTCGACGCCATTGCCCAATCAGGAGGTAGTTACAACTTTTTTTAAATAGACTTGAAGTGAACTTCACCCAAGAACGATCATAGTGGCCATTCAACCATTATGGCTGCTTCTCTGGTGTTACGGCCGATATGGTTAGCCTCTAATAAAATTAATATTATAACTTGGCATCAGAAGTTTCAGTTTTTTTAAGGGGGATAACAAATTAGATATACTTCCTATTTATAGAAAACAAAGGTAAATATTTTTGTAGGCTTTTTTGTTAAAACTAATTTTTAGGACTCAGATGTCGGCCTTGCAAAACAAAAGCCTAATTTATTTTAATGATTATTTTATGAAAGTGATTTTGAAAATGGTTTTGTTGGCATTACTCGTGGTAGTAATAATGACATCATTGGAGCTAACACTTGTTTGTAGCAGTTGAAGTTCTAATAGCGGAAAATAAGGATACCAATGAATTTAATAGGGATTATATAAAGAAATACGCTGGACATCAATGGAGATTTTTATTTTTTTTAAATCTCTATTAACCAAATTACTTTATATTTTCTAAAATAAAAAAAAATATGGTTTTATGTGCCTGAAAAACTTATTTAGATGATTAAAAAGGACCCAACAGTCCGAGTTAGGGAAAGATAAACAGTAGCACTATTGTACTCACTGTTGAAAGGTCATGGTCATTTCCATTTCACATTATTCCAACATCCATACTGAATTATTCCTTGTCCAATTCACTCTCAGAATATATAAACTGATATGGGTCTCTGGATTCATATCCTATTAGTTTGGGTATTTCGGTGATATTAAAAAAAAAAGAGTTGACACCACGGCACGTTTGCATTGACAGTTGGTGGACTAAGACAACTTGTATACAACTTTTTGCCAGCCATCGGATGACAGGAAATGATTTAACCTACAAACAGCATTATCCGGGGAACTTGGAAAGTAAATGAATTAGTATGTGGAAGTTTTCAATAAAATCCTACCAGCTAATGGATTGGTTTCTATAAGTTATTTTCTTGTTTATTTCTCCGCTGTGCATCCTTAAACCGGTGCTGTTTATTTGAGATGGGCGGCATGAGATGGAATCTCAGAAGTTTTCTCATATTTTTTTCAAGCTTATGACACAATCTAAGTTTCCTATTGCCATCATCACGGTACAGATGTGAAGTTTTTTTCTCTAAATTTGATTTCTATTGCTTCTTTTCTAATTTATTTTTCCACTATAGCCCCTTCAACTGAGCAACAACACCCCACCGTTCAACCCCTTCACCTCCATGGCTGACATCTGGAGTCCAACTTCTCCATCTGGAGGACTCAACTCCATGGGAATTCAAGGAGCAGCACAGTGGAACCCACTCGGTCCTGCACCTTCCAACATTCCCCCCACACATAAAGAAGAATAAGACACAAACAGAACATGTGCACCAATGTGTGAAACAAATTTTCAGTTTGACATTTGGATGAAAGTTTTGTCATTTGTCCAGTAAGCTCTTGTAAATGTAAAAAGTATTTTTATAAATTTGTCGGCTGAAAATCTAAGTGCAACCCCCCCAAAATTGCGAGAAGTTTTCTACTTATTAAAGAAAAAGTTTGATCATTATAAAATAGGTATAATTTACCATTCTCTTCCATTTCTCAAACTCTGTGCCTTAAACACTGAGTCTGAAACGGAATGGAAATGTAATAAAACAGAAAAGATCACTGATTTCTCTTAGTTCCCTACATATTTGTGGTGGGTTGTTTTTTCTTTTTACTTGAATGTACTCTTACATTTAAAGGCAGCCATTTTTTAAAAATCATGCTCTGCTCAATATCATCTCTTTTCTGCCATTGAAAGTGAAATAAGCACCTATCACCTGCGAGAGAATTTAACAGTTGTGAACGTTTTGCCAAGCTAATTTTTTTTTAATGTATGCTTTTATAAAGCTTCCTTTTTTAAAATTGATCAACCACCAAAATTATCAGTTTATATTTGAGTCTCCAGTGCATCATATCTGTACATTTTTAATGAAGAATTTTAAAAATTTGTATTGAACTTTCTGACTTGTCTGTCAATACAGCAAAAGTACACTCATTAATAGAACTAATTTCCATTAAGACTATTCATTGCTGGATATCTTTATTATCTGGGTGGTAACATTGTGACTGTTGTATGTTGAGAAAAATCTGCTTGACACTTCTGTTCTGCAGCTTTTTACTATCTTTCTTCTCTCCCCCCCCCCCCCCCCCCCCCAGCCTCAATGCTCTATTAAAAAAAATATTCCTGCAGGTGGTCTCCCAATAACCAAGGTTTGATACAATAATGCTACTCCAGGGTGGTAGCACATCTTTGCACCAATTATGTGTTTTGGTATGTTGATATTTTTTTAACAAGTTTGTCTGTGATATCTAAATCAAATATGACTGGTTTATGATTGATTTATATGAGATCTGATATGACATTTTTGTGCAAGTTGATAATGTGTGTGAATTTCTTGTGTAACATGGTGATTGTATGAGGTGACATAGCTGCACAGTGCTGGAGTGGCTAAAAATAGAATGATGGGTGCGGGTGGATTGATGGTGTCACTTAAAATGACAATGTAATATAGTGTTTGAGAGGATGATCTAAGCTGTGTTATAGGCACCAGTATGTCAGATTTAATGTGTGTGTGCAAATGTTTTATGCGTGACTGAGTAGAACTGAAGATACAACATGCTGATTAATGACATCAATGTACCTTCATATAGGTCATCCTTGTCTGAGAAAAAAAAGCTCCTAATAATATCTCATACTATAATGCAAAGAATGATTTTTTTATATAGAATTTTTTCATTGTCTCAAGTCATAAAATGATAAAAAGTGCAAGCGTGCTGTTAAGTTCCAATGCCGATCTCTTAAACTGGGATGTTTTGGTCAAAATTCGACCATGCATTTAACAGTTAACACTTTCATACATTTCTGCCGATCATTGTGAAATTTGTTCCAGCTGAGTCAGGATTAGACCTTATTTTGACGACTGAAGTTTTGGGAATAATAAAATATCTATATAAATATTAAGAGGGGGAGAAAATAAGCTTTTTTTAAAAAAATTCCCATCACCCTTATTTGAACAGTTAACAAGCCATTTGGTTGTTTAAACCCACCGTCTCAAGTATGTTAATGTGTATATAGTCACAATAATTTTTTTTAATACCTGGAAATATTTCCAACTGATATGGTAGATACTATTATGTTGCTGTTTTTTTTTGTTTTTTTTTCTCTTGTTAGCCAATATTTACATTGAGATCAGTCTTAAGTTGAGTTGGTATGTCAGCAAAGCTGTATTTTTTTTAATAGATATTTAATTTGCTCTCAGTTTAACATCATGTGTAACTAATGAAAACAGTTACAATGTTTGACACCTTTGAAATAAAAATTGTAAAACCAGCTTCAAGAACAAATAAATTTAGTGTAAATTTTAAAATAATCTTTAAGTTCAATTGGTGTGAAAAGAGAGCTGAATTTAAACTATTTTTTTTTTCTTTATCTAATTACACAAGTGCTCATGCATTAAGGGTTTTAGATATATTATATAGATGTATCAATTATTGGTATTCACTTGAAACTCTTTAACTGTCTACTGTGTATTTTGAAAAAACATACTTGTAATTTTAACTCTTTTGCTGCGGAATTTTTAAAATAAAAAATGTACATTTTTTTCAAAAAGCAAAAAAAAAAAAAGTGAGAGTTTGGGTTTATTAAAAAATATTTTTTTAAATATTATTGTTTGGTATATTATAATGCTAAACCTGGGATCAAATGAAAGATAAGTGAATTGACTATATGTTTGTAAACTTATTTCTTCAGTTTAACTAAAATAAGTTACAGAAAAGAAACTTAAAATGTGAAAACCTGAGATGCAAAACCTTTTCTTCCCCAAACATTTTGATGTAGGCATACATCATCTTCACTGCTATACTCATCTGTGATAGTACTATCGGAATCATGGGATGGATCTAAATCAACTTCACTATCAAAAGAAATAGTGTAAAACATTTGAAACTTACTCATCTTACTAGAACCTAGGGTAGCCATAGCAACAGTATTGATATAAAAAAAACAATGCTTCAAATGGCAAAAAATAAACCTTGCTTTCACTCATTAACAATGAAGTACCGCTCTTCTATGTAAAAGTCTAATTTAAACATAGCTCTTTAAAAGTTAACCGAGAAATAGCAAAGAAATGCCACGATATTGAAACAAAGCACCGTTCTTTGCTCTGCTTTTTAGCGTGGCGGATGAACATTCTGTGTGTTGAACCGCAGCTAAAGCATTGAAGGCTTACAGCAATGTCATTATTTTTTTTTATTTTGGAATAGCCATTAGATGTTTACTTTTAATTATAGTTGATGGTGTAAGTGCCACTTCCTCATATGGCTATCCTGCTAGACTTATGAGTGGAAGATATTTGTGTTATTTGATAATGGCCTTGTTTTGTTTTAATGCTAGCATGATCATGATAAATGTTTTGTCCCATGTCAAATTAAATCTGACTGCTATTGTTTCACACATTGCCCTGCCAAAGGACCTATTGAAGGGACCTCTACATGATGTCTTTGTTCCACTGATTTAACACTGTTCAGCCACTGTGGAGTTGGTTGTTTTCTTTTCTAGTTTAATTTACCTGAAACTTGAAAAGAAAACTATTTTGTAGAATGGGTCATTATTTTTAAAGTAGCACAGTTTATTTATAAAAATAATAAGTTTTGAATTTATTTTGTTTGAAAAAAGGATGCTTTTTCTGAATTCCTGGCTTCAAAAAAAAATCTGATTTAGAAAGCCTATTGTCTAATGTTTTTATGTTGAGAAATATTACTGAAATGTCCCATTATGCTTGATCAACTCCACGGCTGATTATTAATTTCTACTATTGTGAAAAAAAGCTCCAAATAACTGAACTGATTCAGGAGAGCTTTAAACAATCCATTTGTTTTAAATCTCTGCTATCTCAGCATTGGAGGTACTGGAAATTGAAATGGTTGTATTGAAAAGAGCAATTGTTTGTTCTATCATGCGCAACTACCCACCAATGATGACACCCACCTGATGTGAACTAGTAAACCGAATATGACTTAGGAAAAAGTTGCTTACTTCCCCTACCCTTTAGACCAGCAGCGAACTTCTCTCCTCCTCCTCCTCCCCCCCCCCCCTCCCCCCCCCCCCCCCCATTTTTTTTTTTTTCTTTTTTTTTTTTAAACCAGCCCTACCAAGAAAAAGACCATTACTCTTCAAGGAATGTTCAACCCTTGCATTGTCAGATATGCTGTGGATTACGAAGCACTTTGTTGGAGTGAAGGATGGCTTTGCACTCTAGCCCCCACAACATCCACAGGCACTGGAGAGTGCTTATGAACGTCCATCTCTTAGTCTTCACTTGCAACTCATGGCCATGCCTGGTTGTAACATGTTTGTCAGGTCCATGAACATCTACTGAAACCCTACGCCACTCATCTAGAAAATAACAATTTCTTTTTTTACGCATATAAATTGTCCGTTCTTTTAAAAAATACAGGATAATTTTAATAAAATGTGAAAATATTCTTCACCAGTGTAATCATGCAAATGAATATTTTCTTTACAAATTCAAGAGCATGTTAAAAAAACTATTGTAAATGCTAGTAGGGGTGAATTCTTGAAATATCAGAAATGGCTTTATTTTTAATGTTGAGTTTATACAATTCTAGTTCACTATGTCCAAGTTAACTCATTAATTTTTAATTTTTTAAAAATAAGTTTGAAAGCTCATTTACGTACAGTTAGTTATGTGGATTCCATAACTTGTAGCCACAAAGGGCCAACATGGTTTCAAAATGGTCAAGTTGTGCTAGATTTCAAATAGAAGAAAAATACTTTCCAAATAAAGTAATAAACATTGGCTACCGCGTAACACAGGAGATTACTCTCTTAATAACAAATGAATCTGAGAAAAAATAATGGGTTTTATATTAAGAAAACATTTAAGCAATGCTTTGTTGTTTGTGTTTTCATTTGCATCTGCTGTGAACTTTGTTACACCTATGCCATCCTAGTTGGAGTGGTGGCTGTCGATGACCTTCCAGAGCCATCTTGCTATGACTTATCCTAATTATTGTTAGAACAAGGCAATACTCCATTCTTTTCACATCTAGTTTGTCAAGGCAGCTCTTATTGCGTACATTAATTGATATTGTTAACACCTGTGTTTAAAAAAAAAAAAAAAATTACCTGCCCTAAAATTTATCTTTATTTTGTCATTGTTTCTATGAAGACCTCCTCTACATATCTATGTACAACATCTCTGTCAGTTTGCTCTTGAACAGAGTGAACCAGTTATTTCGCGGGCAAATGTTTATTTTTTTTTTTTTTTTTTCCCTGAAAACTTTTAATGAAAAAAAAATATAGTTTAAAAAATTGAAATGTAGTTAATATGAGCCTAGCTCTGCAAATGAATGATATTACAGCACTTAAAACCTTTAGATCATAATCTTGAACACAAACAAACAATTTTCCCAAAAAAGTCTTATTGCTGTGCATGGTAAGATTTGCTTTGGGACACTATTTCTGTTCCTTTTTTTTATGTTACATTTACGGAAAGTTATCCGTATAAATTCTAGGGTTACACATTTTTTTGCCCAACATTAATTATGATTTTGTTGGGGTTTTTTTTCCTCTCTGGCTGATTGGCAAAGAATTGTAAATCAGTTTTGAAGTCTTGAGTTTGTTTGTTCTCTGGTTACTTCAAGATAACTCTACACCATTATATGTCCTGGATATAGAACCTGGAAGCTTAGTGCGTGACTATTCAAGTATCTGCTGCTATCTAATGACACACTAACTAATAAATGAACTGTTTTTAATGCATTTTTTAACAGCTTTGTCTTGTTATTTACCTTCTTTTTTTTTTCCTTTTTAACTCAACAGTTTGAAATTGATTTTTGCAACAATCTGTTTATTAAAGAACACATCCAAACTGCATTTTGATTGACAAATTAAATGAGATTTTGTGATAAGGGAAAATTGATGCCAATAAAACCACCAAAAAAAACAGGATGGATACCGGTATATGCAAACCAGTTATATCAGAAAACCATGGGGACCAGTTGACCAAGTCAGCAGCCATTTTCTTGATGATAGTCCAAGTTATTGAGGAGGGGGGGGGGGGTTGTTGTATTAACAGCTTATTTTAACTTACAGGAAGTAGAAGGAAGCCCCATACTAAGCTCATTCAACATAGCTTGTCCATAATGACAATAAAATCTAAGTCTGGAGACAAACCATTAACTGCAGTGGAGTAATAGAATATGTTAAGCTCCACAACCTAAACATCGAGGATGAGCAAACAAACTAAATTTGTATGCAGACCATAAATTAATATATATATAGTGAAGAAAAGCTTCCAAAATTTATTTCCATGAATTTTGGAATTTGTAAACCTCATGAATAATTTTAAAAATGATTAAAGAGACGCCAAGTAAAGTGTATTCCCCCATGTTTAGCTCATAATTGACCGGTACCATATTTAACAGTAAAACCAGCTGAGTAATAAAAAAGAAAAATAGTGAAAAGTAATTATCACCCAAATTTTAGAACCTATTACTTAGTACCAAAAAAAAAAAAAAAAAAAAAAAAAAAAATAAAAAACGGTACCATATTTAACAAAAAAACCAGCAGAATAATAAAAAAGAAAAATAGTGAAAAGTAATTATCACCCAAATTTTAGAACCTATTACTTAGTACCAAAAAAAAAAAAAAAAAAGGATAAAAAATTTAAGAGTACTGTCCCCCCAAATAAACACGCTGACCTCATGTGTAATCGAATTTTGCTTTTCAAGAGATTGGATGATTGGTACAGTTATTGTCATTTTAAAAACAATTTACTATAATTTGCTACCGTGTCAGATCTACCGAAATTGTTAACTTTAAGTGAATGAAGATTAGACATAGACTTAGTATAAAAATGCTTAGTGCCCCCCCCCCCTCCGTCAGTCGCTTACTGTCTCTGGCTGTCCTTGAGATTGAGAACCTCTGATGTGCTCGCTAACGTAGCCGTCTGCGGCCAGCCAGGCGCGCACTTTTTTAACGGTGGATTTCCTTTGCTTGTTGCTCATTTCTTGTTCTCCGCTGTCCTGGAGAACATCTGAAGCGATACAAATTCACATCAATTACAAAGTTGGTCGTTTTTGGATACCGAGTCACTGATATCCTTTATTATTCATACGTCCAAATCAATATATTTTTGCTAGAAAGTTCATAGACATACTTTGGATTTGATCTGGAAGACACACGGTTTTGCACCATCAAATTCTATTTCATTTCAACACGAGAAAATTAGCCGATTCGCCCAAACCCCTTTTTTTTTATTTTTTTTTTTTTTTTTTTTTTACCGAAATAAATAAAAGAAATGCCACAAAATCAATTTCTTCAAGGGCCCTTATTCCTCTTTACGAAAATGTTAATTGTTTTAATTAGAGAGAAGGCTGCACTTCTTAAAATGTTGCAGAAATATATTGTGGATCTACTGGTATGGCGTAAATTAGAGGTAATATTTTAATTTGACCGTGGTGCCATGTCTCACCCACCAAACACCAACGTCCTTCTTAATCAATACTAGTTGTTTTTTTTTTTTGTTTTTTTTGTTGTTGTTGTTTTTATTATTATTCAAGTACCCTCAAACAAATAATAAATACGAAACTAAAATATTTTTTTATTACGAATGACCCTTAATGAATGCCTAATGAAACGTACCATCTATGAACATTTCGGTGACCAATCCAGTGTCTTGCCGTTCATGTGTGTCCAGCTTGCTGATGACGCTCAGGTAGCGTGCCTTGGTGCAATAGTTCAGCTGTTTGTTAGCCCCGGTGGCTCTGACGTCGTTGAATGCAGACGACAAAATTTTAACGGCGTGCAGACCGAAATCATCTCTGATGAGTGGGGTCACCACAACACCTGAGTAATGATAAAGTTTAAAATTTAATAAATCATTAATTTAAAAAAATATTGCGAAAACAATAATTTTAAAGTTCCCATTAATTTAATAGAACATTTAGATCCCCCCCCCCCGGCCCCCACCCCAACTTTAAAAAAAATATTTTTTCAATTTTTTTTTTTTAATAAAAATTAAAAAATCATTAATTTAAAAAAATAATGCGAAAACAATAATTTTAAAATTCCCATTAAATTAATAGAACATTTAAAACCCCCCCCCCCCGGCCCCAAACCCAACTTTAAAAAAAATATTTTTCATATTTTTTTTTTTAAATTAAAAAATGCTCTATGATCTAGTTCAGGGGTCTCCAAACAACGGCCCTCGGGCTGAAAAGTTTGGAGACCCCTGATCTAGTTAATTTAGTTTTATGACAAACTCAGACACAAACAGTGGAAGAGCCTTGCCTAACGGTGAAAAGCGGGTAATCAGTCTAAATCGCGAGGCGCCAAAAAAGGTCATTTATGAAAAATTAGGAAAAGTGGCACCCGGGGCGAAGCCTAAAGATACCACCCTAAACAGATATATTTTTTAAAAAATAATTTGAAAACAAAATGTTTTACTCGGGCGCTACGAAAATATCAATCACATTTAAAAGTGATTCAAGTCATCGTGAACTACTATTCAGTAATCAGTGGCTTAGGAAGGGGTGCGAAAGGGGTGGTCCGTCTCGGGGGGGGGGGGGGG